TGCATCTGTGGATGATCTGGACATGCCCAAGATAATGCTATCGCCGGCCTCAGAGAGCGACAGCGAGGAGCCGAATAAAGAGTTGGTCAAGTCGGAGACGGAGCCCAAGCAGGAGCAGCTGGAGTCAGTGAAGCAGCAGCCGCTGAAAGCGGAAACGGAAACGGAATTGGCTAATGGGCAAAAGCCCAAACTGGAGACGACAGATGCAACTGGCGAGACGCAAGAAGTGCCAGATATATGGAAAAATCTGTTGCAGAATCAGCCAGCTGCAGTGGCCAAAAAGGAGCCGGAGGCCCTGGAAGTGCAGCCGACGGAAGAGCAGCTGCGTCCCCCGAAACTGCATGTGGCCTGCTCGGATCATGACTATTGCAAAATGCAGCGCACGCCGCCGCCCACGCCCGTGCCCACGCCCGATAAACCAGCGCATGTGACGCCCAAGTCGAAGCGTAGCGCGAATGCCGCCTCCAGCGATAGCGACAGCTCCAGCAGCTCCAGTTCCAATTCAGACTCAGACAGCTCCAGTTGCTCGTGCGGCTCCAATTGTAGCTGCAGCTCCAGTGGCAGCAGCAGCAGCGATGATGACTCCGACAATGAGTCGCAAAGCTCGCCCAAGAGCCCCAACAAGAAAGTGGCCAAGAAGAGCTCGTCGGAACGCATCCAGGAATCCGAGAACAGCCTCAACAACATTAACAACAACAACAACAACAGCGAGGAATATGTGAATGTGACGAGCAACAACGAGGAAGAACTGCGTCCGGCGATGCCATCGCCCAAAGCGCCGCTCTACAATGAATCCGACTTTGATACGGCCGTCTCCGACACGGATGAGGAGTTCTACGATGCACATCCGCAGAAAATGGCCAGCGAGATGCTGGCACAGAAACGTCTGGCGCTGCTCTCGGCCCAAGCGACAGAGGTGCAGCCGCAGGACGGCAATGGCAACTATGGCATTGTGGAGAACAGTCGGCCATCGACGCCATCCCTGCCAGAGGAGGCAGCTGCGTTTGCGGACAAGCGTGAGCGTGTGGCCAAAAACAAGAAAAAGAAACGTGAACGCAAATCCACATGCAAATCGATGAGCCAGGCCAAGATGATTCCCGGTGGTGTGCCGCAAATGGTGCCGCCGCAACAGCTGCCGCTGGGCTTACCCCCAGGCGCCGCCGTCGCCGCCCTCGCAGAAGCAATAGCAACACCACAGCAGCAGCAGCAGCAGCAACAACAACAGCAGCAGCAGCAACAACAAATGCTGCTGCTGACGGAGTCGCCGCTGACGCCCATCACACATCGGCCCAGCTGGCAGCCGCGCATGAGCGAGGGCAGCAGCTGCTCGGATGCCGATGGCCAGCTGAAGCGCTCGAAGCGCACCAGGCGTCCAAATAAATTCTATGGCTATACGAGCGATGATGAGAACATGAGCAGCGTGTTGGCGCCCCCGTTGCAGGTGGGCATGCAGCTAATCAAGCCGCAGCCGCCACCGCAGCTGACCTGGGCCAAGGAGGATCTGCCGACGCCGGCCAAGCAGCAGCGCAGTCGCAGCAATCATGGCGAACATCATAATCATCACCATCATCATCAGCAGCACCAGCAACAGCAGCCTCACCAGCAGCAGCATTCGCATCAGCACAGCAATGGCAGCTCGCGGAAGCGCAACAGACGCACGCCACTTGGAGGAGCCGGCTCCGGCAGTGCCAGTGCCAGGCGCGGGGCCAAGCGTGTCAAGCAGCAGCCGGCGACGCCCTCGGCGACGGTGACAACGCCGCAGGCGGAGCAACTGCAGCTGCCGCCCATACCCACGCTGAAAATACGGCCCGCTCTGCTGCCCGTCAGCGCAGCGCCCAGCGACAGCAGCGATAGCAGCTCGGACGACGAGCATGCCGAGATAAATGTGACCAGTCTGCTGCCGCCCATACAGGCGCCGTCCGTAATGATGCAGCAGCCACCAGTGGCCGTGGCGCCGGCAACATTGCCAACGCCGCCACCACCGCCGCCGCCGCCCGCGACCACCGCCTTCAATCAGCCGATACCGCCAGCACTGCTGCCAAATCCGGACTTTGCCACGCTGCAGTACTTCAAGGCGAATAATATACGATATCCCATACGACCGCCGGCTGGGGCGCGACTGGCCCGTGAGGGTGAATCGGTATATTGCTATTGCCGTTGTCCCTACGACGAGGTCTCCGAGATGATTGCCTGCGACGGTGATAATTGCCTCATCGAATGGTTCCATTTCGAGTGCGTTGGCATCATGGTGGCGCCGCAGGGCAAATGGTTTTGCGCCGAATGCCGGCCCAAACATTCCGAGGGCCTCTATCCGGGCGTCAAGGCCAAATAAACTGACGAACTGTGTACATAGTTCTAGACAACCTAGGTTAAGGTTCACAAAATCCTAAATACCCTTTACATATACAAAAACAAAAAAAAACCCCAAAACAGCAACAACACCCACTACAGAATGGATTACGCTTATTAAATGTTAAAAAATAATATTCGATGTCTCTCCAAAACTTCGGATCGATACAAAAAAAAAAAAATAAACTAAAAAAAAAAGATTTACAAAAAAAAAATATTACATTTAAAGTAAATGCTAAGGGAAAAGCAGATAATATTATGGATTATAAATATATACCCAGGCTCAAAGGCGTCACTCGCGACTTGGCTGCAGCATAAACTAAGCTAATCTTAAATAAATGTCTTTAATACACACACACAAATAATACACTTACACATATACGTATGTATGTAATTTAAAGATATATATATATATATATATTATATTTTTGTAAATATTTGAGAGTTGCATATACGAATCGTATATATATATATGTATATGCAATTGTACAATACTTAGCTCATGCAAGATCTATATAAATCTTTAGACTTAACTCTAACCCAGCATCAATAGTTATAAATATGATTATGATAAACTCTAATGACCTATCGCTAGCTATATGTAAACAAACTAAACAAAAAAAAAAAAAAACAAAAAAACAAAAACTAAAAAACAACAAAAAGCAACATCTAATTGCAAACGAGTTGCGAGAAATAAACATTCAGTAAGTGAACCATAAACTTGGCTTCATTGTTTTTCATCGTATTGGGAGTTATTGTGTTTTAATTGAAGTTGAAATATGTAGCTAAGTTTGCTCTTATACTATTATAAAACATTTGCTGGAACTGTAGAGCATGCCCGTTTCAATGGATATCTGCTCGGGCGACATTCTTTTGATCCACTGAAAAGTTGGTATTGTTTTCTTAAAGGGAGCTTAATGTGTGCTGTTTCAAATATTAAAAGTTTAACTAGCTTAAAAACGAACAAATATTTAATATCTGTATTTAGACAGTCGGTGACCCTGCCCAGGAGCCAGTTTTATAAAAGGTTATAAGGATTTATAGATTAACAACAAGCATAACAACTTATTTAACAACAAGCTAAACCTAATTGTATTAGTAGATCCCGTGCATCCCTGCTCGGGCGCCAAAGCTGCAATATAACGGAAACGCCAGTGTTGAAAAATGTAACCCAAAAAAGAACATAAATATCACGTAGGTTGCTGAAACTCAACTATAAATTTCACTAGATGTACAGAACACTAGGATATTATCACCTATCAACTGGATCCATGCCCGAGCGCTAATGCTACAATATAACGGGTGCGCCAGTGTTGAAAAATGTGAGCTAAAATAAGAATATTTGCACAAAACCAATCTACCCTATTTTACCCATTTTCAATGGGTTTAGGGTATAAAGAGAACATGAAAATCAAGAAGGTTACTTAAAAATTAAGTCAATGGGCTTATCAAAACAAAAAAATATATAGAACTAAGAGAGTATACGAATAAAATTCATTCAATATCACAGCAACAATAAAGCAAAAAAGAGTAAGAGTAAGCTCATTCAAAACCCAGAACAGCTAGGAATTCGTTAGACCCTGCTCGGACGAAGGTATTGTAGCATAATGTAATATAAAACAGCTTTAAGAAGGTAATCTACAAAATTTTGATAACATTGTTGAGTACTTAAAAAAATGAATTAATTCTGCCAGATCTTAAGAGCACTCAGATAATTGTTTCTGTCAACTGTCAAATATAATTGAGTTTTGGCAATTTGTCCCTGCTCGGGCGCTTCTAAGCTGCATATACCCTGCATATACTTGTCAAAAGAACAGAAACGAGAGATAAAGATTATATATAGTATCGTATGTACATCATAATCTAGAGCCAATTCAAGCTAAAATGTTAAATTCTGCTAATCGTTAACTGCAGTTGGGTTTAATATCCTGTGAAAGCATTCAAAAATCTTGACATGCTCGTGTGTAAATGCACCACCCAGCCCCTTCTGATTATGTTGAAGTAAATGCAAATAAGGCACGACAATAAAATTATTGTTGTTGTAGCTGATGAACACGAACGTGTGCGCCAGGGTCATGTGTGGGGTCATCCAAGCGCCGGCGTCAGCGACAGCAGCCAAAACCAAAAAGGACACCACCAAAAGCTCGGGTTGAGGCGGGGCCCAGCCCCTTTTAGCGTGGGTTTGTTTACCAAACAGCGCGTTCATTTAATTGCCAGCCCGAGGGCAGTTGACGAAATCCAACGAGTGCCGAGTCGTAGCTAAATTACGGCCAAAGGTACAGGTACACACGTACAGGTACAGGTACAGGTAACAGGTACAGCTAACGGTAAAGCCTGGCCAGTGGCCAGTGGCCAGTTCGTGTCGCGTCTAGGTGTGCGTGCATAAAAATTACCATAAATCTGAGGTGTGTGCCTAGCCTTTATATGCGCCCTGGTGAACTTGAAGTGCTCAGTTCGTGTTGAGTTGACGTGCCGCGCAGTCGAATCCTTACGCTTTGCGCTCCTTCAGCGCGCCACAAATTTATTTCGAATTTCGCGGACCGCTCGCGCGTTCCTGTGTGTGTGCGTGTGTGTGTGTATGCCATGTGGCAGCGGCAGGCTAAACCGACTCGAGCGCAATTAGTCCAAGTGTTTAGAGCCTGTGTCCAGCCATGGTGCGACGCGCCTCGAGCGTGCCGCATCTGAACAATAGCGGTGGCAGCAGCGCCGATAGCGTCAATGCACGCGGTCGTGCTCCGGCTGGCGTTGCCGGCGCAGCGGGGCGTGGCAGACGGGGCAACAATGCCGCCGGCAAGGCAACAACGCCGACGCAACAGCGCCAGAGCTCCGGCAGCTCGGGCAGCGGCAGCCGTGTGCCGCGCTCCCGCAGCCTGACCAACGGCATGCGGCGACTCAGCCCGCAAAAGGTCGGCAGCAGCGGAAGCGGCACGGGCGGCAGCTCACGCAATACGCCGTACTTTCTGCGTGCCCGTGAAAACGAGTAAGTGACTGTGTGGCTGTGTGTGTGGGGGTTTTTTTTGGAGAGGAGCACTGTGATGCTTCTCACCGTAATCATAGCTCGAGAAAAGTACAGTAAATATTGCCTAAGTGTGCTGCATACTCAAAAAGCTTGCCGGGCTTCAAACTGAGCCAAAAGAAGTGCGTGTAAAGCATTTCACCTGCTGACTCACAGCGGAAACTCCGGCGCAGTCCGTGAATAAATTCAAATAATAATTCTGACAACGGTTATAGCCTATTCGACTTACCTGGCACTTGGAGCTGTTCAGTTTAATATCTGTTCAAAATTCAAATAAATCGTTTTTATTTACCAATCCTAAGCCTTCTTAACTAACACTTGAAATGCTTTACGCATTGTTTTTCAACACTATTTTCACTTGAAGCTGTTCAAAAAATGTTCCATTGAATTAATAAAATATACAAAAAAAAATGTACAAATTAAATGAAAGTACTTAAAGTTATAAAAAATGTATTTAAATTAAATAAAAATTGCTAAATAATTAAAATATTTATTTAAAATAAATACAAATCTGTAGCTTAATAATATATATATATTTAAATTAAATTAGAATCTTAAGATTTATAAAATATTGTTTACAAATTTTAAAAAATTTTAAGGCTAATAATATTTATATTTAAATGAAGTAAAAATAAAATAAAATATATTTTTATATTAAATAAAAATGTGACTAATAACATATACATTTAAATTAAATAAACATCTATAAATTAATTAAATATATATTTAAGTAAAGTCAAAATCTTTAGATTAATAACAATAGCTTGAAACTAAGATCTTAAATGGTAATAGATGGTTTCTGCTCATTTTCAAACAAATTAAAACAAATTCTGATTTCATTCTAAGTGTTAAGACCTACTATAGATTTCAAATATTTATTAACTTTATATACTTAGTTTAGTATTGCGTATAAGGGTCAATTTTAATTTTTCTACAATTCAATTGGTATTATGCCCTATTAGTTTTAGATATTTAATGGCATACTTCTGAGAGCTGACGTAGCCTAAAAGCCTTGGCAAGTGCAGAAATGACACGCATTAAAATATTTATAATTCCGCATATAAATGGTTTGTTGGCCAAGTTATATATTTGCATCAATCCATTTGCCCGCTGGGCAACGAGTAATAAAACTACTTAATAACCTGACCAGGGGCTAGCAACCCTTGATGAGGCACCATTAAAAAAAAAAGATAGAAAAGTAGAATACGGAAGAGGGTGGCATAGGCACATGCACTAGGCGTAATGACCACGCACAATAAACCGAGAGGGGGGGGGGGGGGGGGGGGGGGCAATCAAATGGACAGACAGACGGACAGACAGATAGACGGACAGCTCGGACTTTGAGTTTCGTTCAATTGCTCATGTTTTATATTTAAACAATTAGCGGCGCTCTCGGGGAATTGAGACTGGGTTTGGGCTGCGGTCACGACATAAATCGATTTTGTAATTACAATCGACGAGTCCTGTCCGGCCCTGTCCTGTCCAGGTCCTGTCGGTTCCTGCATGACCCGCATTGAGAGCGAAAGTGACATATTTATGTTTGGCATTCGAGCTGTTTGGCTAGGCATTGTGGGGGCACAGTGATAGTGACAGCCAAGTGCTGCCCATTTATTCTATAGTAAAGTCAGTCGCAGTTAAGGTTAAGAACCTGCCAGTTCCTTGGGTTAAGCTGGTGGTTAAGCTCGTGGCTAATGGCCAGGCCCTCTGCCACAAGGTAATTTAATTGATTGGCAGCAGCTAAATTGGGTCTATAACAATTATTATAACCCATATCCTGTGCTACAAATTCCAATAAAAAGCCTGTACTACGATTTGCAGCAACTTCCTGCTTTAAGTTGCGGGTCGTGAAGCCAATTTACATATACCTTGAAAGGGTTTTGAACTAGGTATTGGTTCAAACCTTTGCTTTGGTATTGAGTCTATCTCAAAATGTATGATTCGGCTGCTGGAGCTATAAAATTAATGGCAATGCGGGGTTTGAACCAGCACGGTTCAAACCAGATTTGCAGCCATGCTTACGACTCGGTCTTATCTATGCAGCTTTTAATAAGAACAGAGCAAATTCAAAGAGAGTTCTTTTTATTATTACTAAACGTTCCGCTTAACAATTCGACTATGAACACGAATAAACAAGTAAGAGGTTCTAGTCGGGAGCTCCCGACTAGGGGATACCCGGAACCCTCTTTTTCCACCATCAAATGCATATATATATTCTATTTTAGAAGCTATATGTCAAGTTTGGTGACTCTAGGTCTTATTATTTACCAAAATTGCCCAAAAAACAGGATATGGTTATCGATTTTATCGATTGCTTGTAAACGGAGTAAGTTATCGATTATCGGAAACGAACTCGATCTGCGCGGGAACTAGGAGCATCTGCATCTAAAATTTCTCTAGCTCTTATAGGTTCTGAGATCCTTGCGTTCATACATACGGACGGACGGACGGACAGACACGCGGACATGGCTAGATCGACTCGGCTATTGATGCTGATCAGGAATATATGTACCAGTTGGGGTCGGAGAAGCCTCCTTCTGCCTGTTACATAAATTTGGATTTTGCACAAATACAATATACCCTTATAACCATTTTTAATGGGTTCAGGGTATTAAAAAGAATTTTGATACTATATTCTCTCACATTGGCTTAGATTTTTCACGTATCATTAGCGCTCCTTTGAGTTGAATTTGAGTTGGATTACATTATAAATTATTCATGCCACATTGACTTAGTATCTGGCATTCGGCACCTGTTATTCGATATTGAATTTGGCATGTGATTCAAGTGTTTGTTCTGTGCAGATTTCGTGCCATATAAATATTGTATGTCCACTTAATGTTTATCCTTGTTGTTTCGGTATTGTTTGCACAACAAATAAAATGTAACGACCACCAATTGAGTCAACGAGCCAGCACAACAACAAAAAACTGCACCTCTCACTTTTATTTGCGCTTGGTTTGGAAAATGTATATACATATATATATATATGCATGCATATCTGTATAATCGTCTGGGTATATATGTATCTACTAATTCCCAGCTCGTGCAGTTTAGGCAACGAAATGTCAATTTTGATTATCTTTGGCACAAGTCCGTGTCCCCGTTGTTCCATGAATAATTATGACCTAACCCCCCGTGTTGTGCATGCCAAAAAAATACAAAATAAAAACAAGTAAAAGTGCTCTGGATGGGAGTACGCGGCGGGTATATACTTGCTATAAAAATTCCTGCTTCTTTTTGGCATATAAAATGGTTCTTCCTAGCTTATTAACAAACTATGGAAAGACGTTCTTGTATAACTCGGGTTTTGATGGAAGAATCTGTATGAAAATTTCAGGGCTTAAATATGACAGCAAAATATGAGTAAATACTTAAGAACAAGGCTCTAGCTTAAATAATGGGTTTTATTTTAATCCAAGAAGTAAAGTGGAAAGATCTTAAAAGGAAAATGCTCCTATACTAAACAAGAATTTACTAGCCAAGTATTTGATTTTTATAATTTTCAAGCTGTGATATTATATTTGGATATTATGCATATAAAAGAAAGTATCCCTAATATACCTCTAATATACTTCTGCGTGTTACATACACATACACAAAATCGTTATGCCCTGTGAGCCCATTTCCCATGGCTTCAGGGTATATAAAAAATCCATATATAGAGCTCCATAGAAATATGGCTGGGCGTATGGATTATTAAAATGCAAACTGCGCACAAACTACAGACTTGTGAAGAAATAATGGATACGAATGGGATATATGGGAATTTATATATCAATCAAGTAACAATCAACGCAGACATTAATCAAACTGCATTAACATGCGTGTACTCTTATAATTATGACGCCCATAATAATTATCTAACAACAGAGTTGGGCTAAGACGAGCTACACACATATATCTCATGGTATATATAGCTCATCCATTAAATTAACAAATGTTATGGCTGTCAATTTGTAGCTGTATGTGGCACGTGCTGATGTTTTCTAATAAACACATATGACTACGTATTTTCCTCTCTTTCTTGGAGCAGCTAATGAATAGACAACATTTCGTATTCCCTAGCTCGAGCTCCCGTTCTCCCATACTCAGCGCTTGTCACTTAGACAATGTGCATTAAGTTGAGCTGCGGGGCGTGCCAGAGCTGAGTAAGGACTCTTATTATACATATATTATCCATTTTACCAGATCTATAAAGCATCGTCTAATGCTTGCTAATGAATTGCTGTAGTCATATAATAAAACTAATTAATAGCTATGCATTAAGTACTAAAACCTATTTGGCTGATGAAATATGCAATAACTGAGTACATCTCTTTATAAAACAATTCGATTGACATCAGGTATGCATATTAGCTCAAGTCAAATTGATGTAGGCAAGGCTGTATGTTTAGAAAAAGATGAGGGTTAAGTGCACTTGTGTTTGTATGTGAGTTTCCTTATAACTTAGGCAAATCTAGTTTTTTAATAGACTCCCTTATAAATTGCCTAAAATCTATTGCCCACATCATATTTGAGCTTAGGTATGTTTTTGAAGATGAGAACAAATCTAGCTGCTCGAATGCACAGACCGTGTCCCAATTTGGTTTATTTATTAAATATTTCATAATGTTCCCAAAATAAATAAATAAATATGTGTCATCAGCGGCCTTTTGCAATAAAACATGCTATGATAATATTTAGCTTAATTTGTTTTAGAAAATGATAAAAGATGCCGAAGTTGTGCTATCCTTTATAATAAAGATTAATTAATAGTACAATACATATTTACATGAGAACATGCTTTGATTTTAATGTCTTTAATAACATTTAATAACATTATTGAGCTTAAATTTTCATCAAGAAAAGTCTTAAATATGCCAAAGATGTCGTGTATTCTATAATATCGAGAAGTTAAGATAAGGGTATCTGTACCAAAATATTAAACGACAGATTTTTTAGAAATTTCTAAAATATGCCAAAGAGGAAATTTAGTTGAAATAATAATAATTAATCAATAAAATATTTAGTAAAACTAACTACCTATAGAAATACCATAGTTATAAATAAATTCCTAATTTAGATAGTTCTACAATAATAATACATTAAATTTTTGTAATACAATTTTTTGATTATATTAAGTTCATATTTTGCTAAGAAAATAAAAAAAAGCTATCTTTTAAACATACAAAAAAAATGTTAAATATTAAATCAAAATTCGTTAAAGGACTTACCCTTCTCCTAAAGGAAAGCATTAATTAATTAAAAATATATTTTTAATTTCGTTTGAGCAATAATACTACAATAGACAGAAAGGTTTAATCATGCTGGGATTTAAATTGTTGTAACAAAATTTTAATTTAGAAAACTTTATTTTAGAAAATTCCAAAATCCTTAGTCAAGCGAGAAATTTAGTTGAAAACATTAAATAATATATAAACAATAAAACTAAGGTCAATATTTATTGAAGAACTTTCTACCTACCTATAGAAATGCCATGGTTATAAATAAATTTTTTATTTCTTTTGGCCTCAGGAGCTTCACCCATCCGTCCCAATCGACCCCCATTCCCCCCGGCGACTCCCTAAGAAAGTTTGTAGTTTATTGAGTGCTTAGCATTCATTTGGCTGTGAACAAAAGTTGATTGAACCTTTCTTTGGTCCGGTCTGATCGACTTTGGGGTAAAAGTAAACCACCTTGATTCGTGCTTGGGTTACATTTTGTTGTGGCGTTGGCTCCTCCTAAAATATTTACCAAGTGGACACAAGACCAAGGCGTAGATAATGCCTGATTAATATATTTAGATGTGTGCTTAGTAGTTATCTACTTTGTATATGGCAAGGGAATCAAGTTTTGTCGTTATTGCATTAATATTTAACAAGTCATTTTCGTCAAAATGTCAAATGTCAGCGCTATGGATTGCAGAGCAGGCACCGTAATCCACAATTCCCATATTACACATACGCCGCGTTGTCCGTTCAAAATAAATTATTTGCTTGAAACCGTTTTTAGGCTGTTTCTGTTAGCTCGTTAATTGCATGACAATTGAACTCTTTTCTCTGTAACAAAAAAACAAGAAACAAACAAATACCTGAATCAAAATTTAGTTTCATGGAAATATTTGCATTTGCATAAAGCTCTGAAATTCCATTGAAACACATTTGTTAATCATATTAAATCACGCTAAGGCATTTCACACGTTGCGCGAAAACAAATTAGTCTAAGAAAAAAAACGCAAAAAAGCCAAAATTTGTGTTTCTTTTCTGCCCTTAACCTTGGCTATTTATGGGGCACCCAAACTGAGCAGCGTCACCAAGTTCAAGGGAATTGACCACAACAAAACAAAAATGCATAACAATAGCGAAATTTACGTGTGCCTTCACGCGGAGATTCCCATTTAGTTAAAGCAATTGAACTAATGGCTGCCATATACCATACCACGCACTAGCCGACCTTCGAGTAAAAGTTGTCCACTTACACGATTTATTAAAGCAATTTAACAATAATTCTCTAGACTCAAAAGTTGTGGGGCTCAGCTAAAAGGCATAGGGTGGCGCTGCTTATAAAAAGCGAGGTTGCTGGTTCTAACTCTTTTAAGCGGGGCATGAGTTTTCGGTTAATAAAAATAATGCTTTATTACTAATTGTAAAAAGTACAAAATAATAACAAAAATAAAATAAATATTAATAGTAGTTATAATAATACATAAATTAATATTAATAATAATAATAATAATAATAATAATAATAATAATAATAATAATAATAATAATAATAATAATAATAATAATAAAAATAATATTAATCATAATAATATTAATAATAATAATAATACAAATAATATAGATGAATTTGAATATATTTTTTTATATTAATTATTCTTAATTCTTTGAGTGTGAGAATCACATTGGAAGAGATTGTGTCTAGAAAATTGTCCAGCTTTTTAAGATCTCTTGGAATACCAAAACATCCTTGAAAATGTACAAAAAATGTATCAAAACATTCCACAAAATGTATAAGAAACAATAAAGTAAACGAAATTACAAATTCAAGGCAGCTCCGATATGTGAAAAGCTTTACAAATATTATTTTATTAAAATACAATATATATATATATTCTATAAAAATAGTATGTGCCCTAGTGTAATATTTATAGAATGCAAATTTAATCCGATAAAAGTTTTCGCTTAAAGAAAACTAACTTATTAAATAATGCATTTATAATTAATTTATCTAAATTGTTTGTGTAAACTACGTAAAATCAAAAGCTATAACGAAAAAATGCTATGAATTTAAATGTTCTTCCATGTGCCCTACTCAAATTTGCGTTCACATATGCAAAATTATTTAGAAACATTTAAACGATTCATTAAATTTGCACTTTCTATGTAAATATTTGAGTTATTTTGAATACACACAGAATTGGCAGTGCGGATACATTGGAAATTGTGGCCTCCAAGTCCACGGGCACCGGCAGCGAGGAGCCCTCAACGCCCGAGGATAACATCAATGTGGTGGTGCGTGTGCGACCCCTGAACGAGAAGGAGAAGCGCGACAGGCACGGAGCAACATTACAGTTTCCTGGCAATGGACAAGTCATTGTAGGTGCCAAGCTGGTAACGAACCATTAAGCTCATAAGTTACATATACCCATTCCTTGAACAGATCGAGGGCAATGACACGGGCGCCAAGCGTTCCCACAATCGCGACAGCGTGCGGGTGTTCACGTACAATGTGGTCTTCGAGCCGGGCGCCACGCAGGAGGACATACTGGACTATTCGGGCATCAAGCGCATCATTGAGATGGGCATCGAGGGCTTTAGCTGTACGGCGTTTTGCTATGGACAGACGGGTTCCGGCAAGACCCACACACTGACCGGGCCACCGGATTTGGTAGGCTACTAACTAGTTAGTTAGTATAAACGAAGGTATATTAATTTGATTATCTTGCAGTTTGTGGGCAAACCCAATCTGAAAGATCCGCGTCATGGCCTGATCTTCCGCTCGTTTTTGTATCTCTTCCAATTGATTAAGAATCGCAAGGATGTCAACTATGTGCTCAAGGCCTCGTTTATGGAGATTTACAATGAACGGGTGAGTTAATATATATAAATATTTTAGATATAATATGAAATATACTGAGCCTTTATTTTAAGAAAAACTTAAGACGAGAAAGTAAGAATATATTCGGCACGTTGAAGATTTAATACCCTTGTTGACATATCCCTTTCGAGGATATGTGAGAATTATGAAGCTCGAAAATGCTGAGTTTGTTGAAATATCTTTAAGAACCTCACTCATCTTACTATTCCACCGATCTCTCCCATAGCTGCTATAAGATATAGTGGTCCGATGTTGATAAGATTTCACATAATATATATGAGAATCATAAAGGAACTAATAAATCCCAAGTTTGGTCAAGTTATCTTAATAGAAGCAAGTAAGAGGTTCTAGTCGGGAGCTCCCGACTAAGGGATACCCGGAACCCTCTTTTTCCACCATCAAATGCATATATATATTCTATTTTAGAAGCTATATGTCAAGTTTGGTGACTCTAGGTCTTATTATTTACCAAAATTGCCCAAAAAACAGGATATGGTTATCGATTTTATCGATTGCTTGGAAACGGAGTAAGTTATCGATTATCGGAAACGAACTCGATCTGCGCGGGAACTAGGAGCATCTACATCTTAAATTTCTCTAGCTTTTATAGGTTCTCAGATCCTTGCGTTCATACATACGGACGGACGGACGGACAGATAGACGGACATGGCTAGATCGACTCGGCTATTGATGGTGATCAGGAATATATGTACCAGTTGGGGTCGGAGAAGCTTCCTTCTGCCTGTTACATACATTTGGATTATGCACAAATACAATATACCCTTGTACCCATTTTTAATGGGTTCAGGGTATAAAAAGGTTTATATATCAGTATCAACAAATAATAATAATAATCGTGAAACTTATAAATGCCGAATTTGGGAATGATATCTTGAAAAAAAAATAAAGAAGTTCTTCTTTCTCTTGGATGAAAGAGATAGAGATTTTGATCGCTTGATTTAAATGATATCCGCTTTTTAGCTTTTAAAATTAGATTAAAAGTTCAGCTTGGGCCCTTTACGAAACAAATGAAATTATATATTAGAACCGGCAAGGTTCAAACTCGTATTTTATCATTACATTGAATACCTGTGTTTATTTAATTACTTTCGCTCGTTTGATTTTACAACTTTCATAAAAATACCTCCATCTAATCCAAATACAAACATATCTAGTCCTTATATTATCTTCGATCTGCGTAATGCAGTTCAATTTAATTGAATATTCAATTTAAATTTGTATTGCAATAATACTGATTGGTTTTCCATTGCGACCTTTTGCAAATAGCATTTCTCATGCGACTAGCTTAGCATGCATTGCATTGACCTCTATTTAATGGAGGTCAATGCGTCCCTCACCCCCTCATTACACTGACCCTCTGCCGTACAATTGATGTGCATTTGGTAAATTGTCGCAAAGCGTGAAATTTGCTTGCATTTTAGATGATTTGTTAGTCTAGTCGAACCAGACAGAGCCCGGGCTGGTGTACTTTAAATCCATTATTGGTTCTGTAAATTGAAATGCATTTTTTATAAACAGGTAATCGATTTGCTCAATCCGGGAAGCGCTCGCAAGCCGCTTGCCGTGCGCTGGTCCAAGAAATCCGGCGGCTTTTTTGTGGAGAATTTATTTACGGTCGACTGCGAGGAACTTGACGATTTGCTGGCTGTGCTAGAGGAGGGTAAGTCGGGTGGAAAACTGATTGTTCAAGCATCAGGTGAACTAATCCCAACACGCTCCCGTTGCAGGTATGAGGAATCGCGCCGTTGGCTCGCATGCGATGAATAATCATTCATCGCGTTCGCATACGATATTAACGGTACACATACTATCGGATCAACAAACAGATGGCGGCGTATTTCTCTCCAAGCACGGCAAGATCAATTTTGTGGACTTGGCGGGCAGCGAACTGACCAAAAAGACCATGAGCGAGGGCAAGACTTTGGAGGAGGCAAACAACATCAACAAGAGCCTCATGGTGCTGGGCTATTGCATCTCGTCGCTGAGCGATAATAAGAAGCGCACCGGGCACATTCCATACAGGGACAGTCAGCTGACCAAGCTGCTGGCCGACAGTCTGGCCGGGAACGGGGTCACGCTGATGATTGCCTGCGTCTCGCCGGCACATTATAATCATGCCGAGACGTTGAACACGCTGCGCTATGCATCGCGGGCGAAGCGCATACGGACCAAGCCCGTCATCATGATGGATCCGCGTGAGGCGCTTATACTTAGCTTGAAGCGTGACATACATGCGCTCCAGATGGAGAATGAGCACCTGAAGGCGGCGCTCAATCTGCACCATCAGGCGACGACGGCAGCTGACGGACCTGGCGCTGGCAATCTCTTGGAGCTGCAGCTGGAGCGCGTCAACAGCGGCGATGGCGGGGCACCAGTGCCCAAGGTGGATCTGGAGCGTTTGCCGGAACTGGATGGCAGCGAGCTGGCGGAGCTGGTTAAGCTGTACATGGCCGAAAATGAATCGCTGCGGCAGGAGAACAATCATTTGTTTACGGTGCGCGAGACCATACTGAGGGATCAGGAGATTGTGTGCCGGGAAAATGAGCGTTTGCTCAAAAAATTGGAGGAAGTGAACAAGTGAGTAGGCCCCGCAAAAATAGAATCGATCGAAGGCACAACACTCGGGCTCATTGTTGTCTCCTTTCTGACTTGTTCTAGATCGAAACCGAGCGAGGACAATGAGCCGAGTGTCGAGCCGGTTGCCGGATCGAAATGAGGGCACGGGCTCGGACGCCCAATTGGCATGCAAACAATACAAATTACAATTTTTTATAGACAAATCATGTTTTCAAAACGAATTTAGAGTGTGACTAGAGATCTAAGCAATTAAACGTAAACACTTGTTTCTGTTCCATAATTAGTGTCTGTGTGCGTTCCCCCCTGATACCTGCACGACCGGCCATCTCGCCAACGACGGGCAAAGAAACGCCCGGCACCGAGATCTGGACAAACCCGGAACCAGCTGTTCCAGCAGCAGTGCTCCCATTGCAGCAGCGCATGTCTGAGAATGCGGACAAGCGTACGCATACGGCCCAAAAGCGCATCGATCAGCAGCGCATTGCCAAGAATATTCTGCTCATGGCGAATGCCTTTCGGATGCCCAATGCAACAGAGCTGGAACTGCACAAGGAGCAGCAGTTAACCAATAACAATAATAACAACAATGAGCATGTGCAGCCTGATTTAATGCCAGAGTAAGTGACAATGTGTAAATTAGACTGAAGAGTTTCTGAATTTAAAATATTTCTATCTCTGCAGCATGCTAACGTAATAAATCTATTAATGTACCTACTACCAACATACAAATATGCTATATTCATATATATTTTTGGAACAATTAAAACTAATGTTAAAAAGCAACTTCAATAAAACTGTTAAAAGTTCCAAATGTCTTCTACTCATACATATTATTTATTCTGTTAAATAAAATAAACCTGTTAAGAATTCAAAACGCGTGCTACTTTTTGGCAAGTTGGCAGCACTGCACCAGCTGCTGCACTTTTGTTATCGATAGTTTTACATTTGACAGGCAGCGATAAGTATTGTATCGCATCAAACACTATTGATTTTTCGTCGAATCAAGAGCTCGAGCCTGTGCCTAAAATCAGCTTTTAAAGGTAAATTAAGGCACATTCTCTTAAACATTATATTGAACATAACTTATTGCAGCTAAACGTTACTCGCTAGCATCAAATTTATTGTTGACGTTCACCATAGGTCTTGCCGAGACTGCCGTTCTGGATATTATGGCTGCTAATTTGCAACAGCAGCGCACCATCAATGAGCAACTGCGTCGGGAGGCGGGGATACCCCGCATCCAGGTCTCTGAGGCATGTAATGCCATGATGAAGTATATGATAGATCACGAATCGGATGATTGTCTGCTGAGCGGTTTTACCAGTCAGAAGGTGAATCCGTTTCGCGAGAAGAATTCGTGCAGCATTTTATAAGCTCAATTTTGAATAGGTACACAAGTTCCTAGCAGTATTCATAATATGTAGACATAAATATTGTTTACGTTTTCGCGGCGAACTCTAATAGACTAGAACAACAACAACAACAGCAAAATCTATAAATGCATGCATATGTGTGTAATCTTTGATGTTTCTTGTAAATGTATGCTGACCTCAATTATGTCTATAAACTGAACATATACATAAATATTGTAGAGAAATATTTATTTATGTGTGCACCAAAAAAAAAAGGCCAAAAAAAGAAAATCAACTCGAACCGTCTTTAACATACATATGTATACATACCATGTATTTTGCTAATCCTATAGCTCTTTTTTGGAGAACGGCATATTCGCATATATATATACATACGCAATAATACATATAATATACATATATACTAGCAATTTTCAATAAATGTATGACCCCAACTAAACATGTTTCCTATTGAGATATTAATAAATAATACAAAATAATAAATGTGCACATAAGCGTTTATCTGTCTGTGAGGTCATTAAAGAAATCTTATTTCTGCTACATTATGGCCATTGAATATTTGGGTGTTGTTCGTTTAATAAACGCGCCAAAAATATGTATGTATATGTGGGTGCTGACAGCGTTCCTCTAGTCTGCCTAAGACCTACCTCTTTGTGCTCTATAATACCCAGATGGTATAGCTTTTAATTTAATAACCTTCTAGGGATTTTGAATTAAGATCTTTCGCATATTTTTAGCTCCGTTAAGCCTGTATCTCAACGCTAAATAGCTCGAGCATTTTGCACTCAAAAAATTTAACACTCAATAGTGCTGCGACTTTAGCTGTTTTATAGCTAAATGTGGATGTTCTCAACTGAAAACATTTGAGATTTGAAACTACTTAAAATATTTTTTGACGTTTAAGAAAGATGTAGGGAAAAACTTGTTCAATTCCAATTTGTGCACAAGAATTGATTTAGCTATTTTTAACGATAGAAACAGCAACTTTTTTGAAGCGACAGTTGCCAACACTGCTCAAAGCGGTAAGGCGCCATCGGGTCGTTTACGAGCACTGTGACAGTCGACTAGCGACACTGTGAAAAAAAAACACTGTGAAATTGTAATTGTCAAACACAAGCAAGAGCTTGTAGCCCACAACTGCTTAGACTAAGGGGATCTACCTTCAGTTGCTAAAAGCGCGGTATCCATTCCAACCAAACATTGTAGAAAATAAATAAATAAAATGAAGCACTGACTGAATCGTGTGCCAATTGCCGCAAGATTTGCTGGCCAAAATCATTATAGTTGTGGGCGTGGCATGTCAGGAGCAGCGTCTCAATGAACCAAGGTTTCAATCTAGAATCATGGCTTAATCCAAGTAGCTTTGACGTTTCCATTCCCACCAGGACCTGGCAGAAGTTCACAAAACAATTTGAATCTCATATGTATATATACAAACATATGCATTCCAACAGTAATATATTTATAGTTGTGACGAATATTTATTACACAAGTTCAATAAAATGAGCGATACGACTAAGAATTTGCAAGTAAATCCGTATTTCATATTTCTCGCCCAGTTTCGTGAAAATCTCAAAGCACGGGGCGTGACGAACATCAAAGCCACAACTGTGGCTCGAATGGCTGGTAAAAAGTGGCGACAAATGAGCGACGCTCAAAAAGCCATATACAGTGGAATAGCGCAAAGCAATCGTGAAGCACGTTCGCGCGGCTACAGCGTTTAAACAAAAATTACAAAAAACAAATGTTACACAGAGACAATTCAAAATTATATTGTTGGCGCGTATATTTCGGCACTGTAATCGTTTTTTTTAGCAATCGATGACAATTAAGCACGTTAACCAACACTACCCAAAGGCGACAACACATTTTCTATATAGTAATCCATTGACAAGAAATTAAAATGAGTTCCGGATTTGTTACTGAATCCGAGGCAGCAGAAGCACGCCAACGCCGCCAGGAGGAGTGGGAACGCGTACGGCAGCCCGAGGATCCCATGGAGAGACCCGAGGAACCATACGACGGACGTTCGCTATACGACCGCTTAAAAGAGCAGAAGACAAAAAAGGATATGGAATTTGAAGAAGCACACAAGCTGAGTACGTTCGGGTGATTAATCATGGAATTCAACAGTAACTAACTATTCCTTAATATAAAGAGAATCTAATACGTGGCCTAGACGATGATGAGGTGCAGTTCCTGGAGCTTGTTGATGCTCATAAAATGAATACCGAGCGTCAACAGATGCGTGACGAGAAGCTGGAGCTGGAGGATTTTCGCAATCGAGTTGAAAAGCTGCAGGAGGAGAGCGTAGATAAGGTAATGTGACTTGACTTTCCATTGCTACCAATAGTCAATGATAATTGCTTAATAAATCAGAAACTTCAAGCGGAGCTAAAGACGACAGCCAAATCTGTCGGTGCATCGGCCACGGCGCGCAATACACAAAAGTCACTGCTGGGACAGGGCATCAAGCGCAAAAATGGCGAGTTGCCCACAACCAGCAAGGTGTCTAAAACGGAGCAGGAAACTACCGCAGAGAAATCGATAGCACCTGCAACAATTAGCATCAACACAACCAAACACGATGTTGGCGGTCTCAAGTGTATCGCCATACTCCCAGGCATTGGATCCTACACCGAGTCGAGCGATTCTGAGGCGAGCACCGATACCGATGATCACGACCACGATAAGAACAGTCTGGTGGATTTGTGTGGTCGCAAGATACTCAAAAAGAAACAGTGCGCCGAGTAAATTGGTTTCTTTTGTATTTTGGGGGCAACAGTTTTATTTGATTCTTAATTATAATGTTTAGCGTTTGCTGCAGCGAATTATACAACGTAGAGTTAAACAATGCTATGTATCCTTTTTCTTGTTGCGATTGCGATTCTTCACATTCGTTGTTTCATAGAAATTGCTGCCAATTTTCTTGCGCTTCTGGCTGCGTTCCAGAGCGCGCTTCTGTTTGGCATTGAGCCGTGGTGCCTTGGCACTGCTGCTGGGCCCGTCGTCGTCATCGCTATCGTCCAACTCATCGGAATCGCCTGGCTGCACCTTGGCTATGCGGAATTTACCCGACGATGTGATGGCCAGCTGTTGTGCCTTCTTGGTCTTGGCTTTTTTGTGCACCACACGCTGCAGATCCTCATTGTATTCGTCCTCAGAGTAGAAATCGCTGGCACCATCACTGGAATCTTCCTCTTGCTCTGGATTGACCAGACGTGCCTTTTTGCGTGCGGCACGCTCTGCTTTCTGTTGCTCCAGCAGCTCCAGATCAATGTGATCCAGTTCGCGCTCATCCTGCTGCTCATAATCCAGACCCACGCGAATTTTACGGAAGTCCTGAATTTGCTTGAATTCGCGTGCCCGCTTCACAGACTCGCTTACAAACGTGGGCGCCTCCGATTTAGCATCCGCATCCTCAGCAGTAGCCTCCTCTTCCGCAGCAATGGTTTCCTCCACTGCTTGTTTGCCCTCCTGTGATTTGGGCGTAGCAAAGCCCTCGGGTGGCACATAGAAAGGCAGCTTGCCGCGCTGCCAATCATTGAGCACCATGCGCGCTGTTACCGTTATGTCCGGTTCACCACCTTTCAACAGTTTACCCGACTTTTTGGCTAACTGCTCCAGGAAGTGTGTGGATGTCGTCCAGTTTTCTATTTTGTAGTTCTTTGCAATGTACTCCTTGCGCACGCGCTGCAACACTGTTTCCACATAATCCTCCGGATTGGTGACCAGCTCCACCCGCACCACGCCTTTCAGCACCTTCTCTGTATCCGTTTCGGCAGAGGGATAAACCACGCCGGGACAATCGATGAGGAATATGCGCTTCATTAGCGTTATGTACTGCCAAACTTTGGTTTCGCCCGCAATGGGTGCTACATTGCAAACCTTTTTGGAGCGCAGCGCATTAATCACCGAAGATTTGCCCACATTTGGATAGCCAATGAATCCCACGCTAATTTGCTTCTTATCCATGTGCAGTTTGCCCAACTGCCGGAACAGATTGATGAGTGCGCCTGTCAAATAATTGGAATGTATTATTGCATGCAAAATACAAATGCATTTCCAATGACTTACCTTTGCCAAAGGGATGCTGGAGCGAGGCATGAAATGCTATTGTGGGATACTCAGCACTGAGGATTGCCACCCAGCGCTGCGTCACCCACACGGGCACCAAATCCACTTTGTTCAATATGAAGAACAAATGCTTGTGCGGCTTCTCTTTGCGCAAAAACTCCTCAATATATTTGGAACGTGTGCCCATGGGATCGCGGGCATCGAGCACCTGTAGCAATACATCGGACGCATCCACAACTTTGTGAAGCTCGTTCCAAATGCGTTTACTCTGGCCCGCACCAAATACCCAATCACGCACAGCCTTCTTTTCGCCCGTGTCCTCCCGTATGAGATCTACATCTTTTGTAGAATCATATTGATCGGCCTGCTCAACCGCTGCACGGCTCAAATCCTCTAGATCACGCACCTTAAGGCTGACACGTTTCCGTTGCTTCTTCGGCCCAAATACGCTGTCGAAGCTCTCTGTGTCTAACAGATGAACGCGTTGATACTTGGAGGCCTCGTTCAGCAGCGTTACCGGCAATTGGGAGGGTTTCATTATGACCTGATAAGGATCCTTAACAGCCTTGCCAATCTCATCCTGGAACTTTTGCAGAGCTGTCTGTGAAATGACACGCGAGTTGCTGAACCATTTCGGAGTTGGCTCCACTCTGGCCATCGTTCCAGCGGGCAGACGACCCTAAAACAACAACAGTTGATTACCTTAGACATCCTCAACGGTGCAAGCTTCCGGGCTTACCTGAAATGGCGCTGGGGTAATAATTTTGCCAGTACGATCGCGCTTTGCCTTAAAGTTGCGATACATCTGCAGGCGCTTGATGGTGCCCTTGGTGCGCGGGTGAGCGACACCTTTAAGGCCACTTGTTGGTCGCTCCGGATTCATGGAGTGGTTGGAATGGTTAAATCCCTGCGTCCGGGGCTTGCCCGTTGTGCTCCGTACTTTCGGCATCTTTGTTTTGTTTGATTAACGTGCGGTTTAATAGAATTTAAGGGCTGTTCTCACAGCTCGCACGTATCAAAACAAACACGTTCCGTTCGGAAAAGAGAGGTTAGGTTGAGGGATTGTTTTTATTTCACTGAGATATCGATATCTACAACATATTACTTATCGATATAATTTACAATGTATATATTTCCATTTAGGACTTTAAAGAAATATACTAATGCTATAAAAAGTGTTCCACCTCTAAAACAAGTGTTATTTAAAGCTAAAATCAAACAATTTTAAATGAAATACTATAGTGCATAAATATGTATTGTTATTTATTTGCAGCAATAGGGCTGGCAGTTTAAATGAAACTACAGTCAACTAAATGGATTTGGCCACTCTGTTTCTTATACGCCGCTGTACATTGCAATAGACACAGCAAACTACATGTCATTTCGAAAATATTTTATAAAAATTTAGGTCCAAGACATATGTATGTGCTACAAGTAGCTGTTAAATATATTACTTATTTGCATGTAAATCTTTTCAGAATATGAATTAAAAGTGAAATGAATAAGTGCACATTTGCAGGTGTTTCTATGTTAATGGCCGGCTATGTTGCTCAGAAGTAAGCTGGTTTGTATCCGTGTGGCTCTGTGCATATCTGTAGTTGTACATTTCAATAATGGCCACGAGCTGCACGCTGGCTGCACTTTGTAAAGTAGAATTAAAAAAACCTGCACTTTTTTTTCTAGTTACAATCAAAACAGTGAAAATGTAGCTTAAAAAATTGTTAAAAAGTAAAGTGTAGTAATTAGTTGCAAAAAGCCAAACAATTCTTTTGTACATACACATGTATGTATTTCACAAGCTCGCTTGTTTGCTGTGTACGTGTGCGCGGTGTATGTGTGTGCGTGTGCTTTTTGGAATGTCGCTTTGCACGAAATTCAAATTGTGACCATCCTTGAGATTTTGTGATATAGACGGAGACCGATAGAGAGAGAGAGGGAGGAAGACTATTAAGTATGCAAAATAAAGCGAATTAAACTAAATCAAATGGACGAGCACACATTGAATGACCTGTTGGAGTGTTCGGTGTGTCTAGAACGCTTAGACACCACCTCCAAAGTATTGCCATGCCAGCACACCTTTTGTCGCAAGTGCTTGTTGGTAAGTGTTCTATTATTATCGTTGCTTTTGTATATTAAATGCTTTTTGTTTGCCCTACAGGATATCGTGGCCAGCCAGCACAAGCTGCGGTGTCCGGAATGTCGTGTTTTGGTGAATTGTCGCATCGACGAGCTGCCGCCAAATGTTTTGCTGATGAGAATTTTAGAAGGCAAGTGTGTTGTGTGGGCGTCGACAGCCCATGCTTACAATTTGAAACAATTGTGGGCAGCCACGTAGCTAATACTTTACTCATTACTCAATAGGCATGAAACAAAACGCTGGCAAAAGCGACACTAAAAGCGAAGAGCTGCCACTGCCAAATGCTAATAAAACACAACTGCAGCCGGAGTTGCCACCCACGCAAATAACCCAGCAGCAGCAACAACAACAACAGCAACAACAAATATCACAGCAGCAACAACACGCCCAACAGGAAGCACTGCAAACGGCGCGCCAAAAGCAGCGACGTTATCTATTGCCGCACGCCTATGCGTTATTCGATTTCGCCAGTAGCGAAGCCAGCGATTTAAAGTTTAAGAAGGGCGATTTAATATTGCTAAAGCAGCGTATCGACAACAACTGGTTTGTGGGCCAGGCCAATGGCCAGGAGGGCACATTTCCTATTAACTACGTCAAAGTAGCCGTCGCTCTGCCCATGCCACAGTGCATTGCCATGTATGACTTTAAGATGGGCCCGAGCGATGAGGAGGGCTGCTTGGAGTTTAAAAAGAGCACCGTTATCCATGTGCTCCGCCGCGTCGATCATAATTGGGCTGAAGGACGCATTGGACAAACAATTGGCATATTTCCCATTGCATTTGTAGAGCTGAATGCTGCTGCCAAAAAGCTGCTGGAGAGCGTTGGTTCTACCAATCCACTGCCACAGGGGCCACCAGCACAACTGATGCAACAGCGCGCTCTGCCGCCGGTGCCGCTTATCGATCCCACCCACAACTCGAACGACTCCAGCACGGGCTCCTCTAACAGCAATTCCTCAAACAACAACAGCAGCAGCAGCAACTCGAGCTCCACATGCAGCTCCAACAATTCCAGTCCAAATCACCAGTCGCTGCCCAATACGCCACAACATGTCGCAGCTGCTGCTGCTGCTGCGGTAGCTTCCGGCGGAGGTTCGGTGCGTTATCGTGACAAGGGCGCCAAGGAGAAACGCCACTCGTTAAATGCATTGCTGCAGGCGGCGCCGCTTAGTTTGCTGCAAACGAATCGCCACTCCGCTGAGATATTGAGTCTTCCGCACGAGCTGAGTCGCCTGGAGCTTAGCTCGCAGCAGGCCAATGCAGCCAGCACAGCAGCCATAACGCAGTCGTCGCAGACATCGCGGGTGCTGAAAACCCACGTGCATCAACAACAATTGCCGCCAACGCTGCCCTGGGGCTACCTGGCGCTATTTCCCTACAAGCCGCGTCAACCCGACGAGCTGGAGTTGAAGAAGGGCTGCGTTTACATTGTCACCGAACGCTGTGTGGATGGCTGGTACAAGGGCAAAAACTGGTTGGATATAACGGGCGTTTTTCCGGGCAACTATCTGACGCCTTTGCGCACACGCGATCAGCAGCAGCTGATGCATCAGTGGAAATATGTGACGCCCTCCACAGATGTAAATGCGACGCCGCCGGCCCAGTCGTTAGACGTGCGTCTAAGTAATATGCTGCCCACACAGCCACCAGACTTGCCGCCACGGCAACAGCAACAACAACAGCAATCCACGCAGTCGACCACCAGCTGTTCCGTGTGGACCAAGCCGGTGGAGGCGCTTTTCAGTCGCAAGTCCAGCGGCAGCACGGATAGCAAGCCGGACAATGCTGGCAGCAGCTCCGGCGCTGTGGGGCTTATGCGACGTTTGACGCACATGAAAACACGATCAAAATCGCCCGGTGCACCACTGCAGCAGCAGCAGCAGCAGCAGCAACAAGCGCCCAAAGAAACCACTAGCACAACTACTGAAGCCAGCGTTAAGGCGGCGCCATTGCATCCAGTGCATGTCCGGTTTGTGTGCACAGGTATTATTTTGCTAGGCATTCCAAGCTAATGCGTTTTTTTTTTACAGATCCGGTTCATGTCCAAGTCAGCTGCAGCAAAGTCAACCGCTGAAGGAAACAGTCGCAGCTCCAACGCCTTCCACTGGAGGTCCACAATTTCAGCCGAACAGCAGCGTTTCCTACGGCTCGCAGCGCATCAAAAGCAACAAAGAGCGACCGCATTTGCTATGGTTTGTATATAAATAAGATTCACGTAGAGAGATCACAGCTAATCTCGTTTTTGCCACTGCAGCGCTAGACAATCCCTGGATGCGGCCACATTTCGCAGCATGTACAATGCTGTCTCGCCCCCGCCGCCCGCATCAAGCCATACGCAAGCCAATGCGCAAACGCAGCTGCATGCCAACATGATTATAGCGCCCAATCATCGCAAGACTCAGAGCCTGGACGCGGGTCATGTGCTCAGTGGCAGCAATAGCAACCTGAACACTAATAACAGCATTATAACCGAAGCAGCCATTAAGGCCAGTGCCACCACAAAGTCGGTATACTGCACGCGAGAGAGGTAACTTTACTATTAATTTGTATTATCGTCTTATGTTTTTTATCAAATTTATTTGCCTTGCAGTCGCTTTCGTTGCATTGTACCCTATCCGCCGAATAGTGAAATCGAGCTGGAATTGCGACCAGGCGACATTATCTATGTGCAGCGCAAGCAGAAGAATGGATGGTATAAGGGCACACATGCGCGCACTCATAAAACTGGTTTATTTCCAGCTTCCTTTGTGGAACCGGATATTTAGCTCAGTGCACATTCCTTGAAGCATTTGTGTTGAAATTTCAAATTCCACACACAAACACACACACACACACACACATTTGTCAAAATTCATTTTTATGAATCGCCGGTCGATTTGTGCTTCCACAAATGTTTATAACAATCTCTTCCTCTTTACGAAAAAGAACTATTCGAATACAAATGCTCGATTATGTAGTTTTTATACGATTTTTAATCAAATTAGGCTAGCCAATATATTAAGCAAACAGTAACATTGTACTTAAGACAAAACTAAATGTTTAATTAGATAGTGAAATCGAAATATGAAAATTCGAATCAACGAACCAACCTTTATTTCAAACGCAGATTCCTTTGTAAAATCTACATTGAAATTCGTAACTAACCACTGTTATGCATAGTACTTGTACTTACACGTAAACATATACGCAAATTATTAATAAAACATATTGTGCAGCAACATGGCAAATTGTAACAAAATTCCAGCTTTGAATTCAACTAACTTTATTCACCATCATTTAAACATATTTTGTTAATCTAGTTTAAACATCAGATTATTCGCTCTTGTCGAACTTGGAACCATAGATGGGCATGTACTGAAGCACCAATTTCCAGTCGGTGTAGTAGAGCAGGGCCAGGCCAGCGGCGCCCCCGAATCCTGCGCCGGAGCTAACGCTGAAACGCAAAGGATGAATAAATATTAAATTTGTCTGAATTGTTACCTTTGGATTATGCAACGTGTTTTTAGCAAGTGCTCCACTCTTGCAAGACATGTAGCAACATCATAAACATGATTTATTTTAATTCTACTTACAAGGCTGACGCGATTTCAGCGTGCTTTTTGCCAAAGGGTATGCGGAAAGCCATTTTATTCGGGTTTAAATAAGTTTTCCTTGCAAATAAATATTCACTAGCCGATCGCAGTATGCCCGTATTGCAATACACCAAAAAATACCAAATCTGAAAGGGTCGCCTATGCCAGCTGTCATTGACATAATGTAGCCCTGGCCACTTCAAATATTTTACAGACTGAATTAAAATATTAGATTTGTCTTAATTAAAACAAATTGTTGTCATTTTGGCTTCTAAAATAAAAATATCTGCTCTATTGCTTTTAAATGATTATTTTATGAAAGCTTCTCAAGAGCTTCATCGTTGACAACGCTGGCAACCCTTGCAGAAGGCATACGTGATAACAACAATTTGTCATCGTTTCCATTTGCGTTAAAATTCTTATTGCATTTAAATTAAATAAATAAAAATGAATGTGGCAATCTTTGGCGAGCTAAACGCATTTGAGCTGCTTGTTCTCAGCAGTTTAATGCCAGCCGTTTTCATATATTTGTGGACTTTAATAACCGGCGATATTAAGGTAAGGCAGCCCACAAACTATCCGATTGGAATTGGACCTAATTTATTAATTAAATAATTTGTTTTCAGAATTTTGAAAACAGCAAGATAGCTTATTCAGTGTACACGGCAAAAGATCCAATCAATTGCTACCAAAACTACACAGAAAAGAAGAAGGATTCATAGGCGCTTTTAAATTGACCTTAGAAGATAAGAAAGCCTGCTAAAAAATAATCTATTAAAGAATTATTATTGTAACAAGATAACGTGCATTTACTTATAGGTGTGCAGCTGATATATGTTTAAGCAAACAGTTTTATATTTTGCTTAAAATGAACTAATGAACTATAATAAGAACTAACAAGTTCAGTTCAAGTGCAGTTCGCGTTGTTCATGATTCATGTTCAAGTGTGCATGTGTGTGTGAGTGTGTGTGTGGTATGTACTGCAGGTGAACAACAACACTTTCTAGTTAAAAACAATACGAAAAGTTTTATAATTACCAAGTTTCGACTTTCCCGACTTTTTAAAGCATTCTTGCATAGGCAATTCGCGCACGTATTGGCTAAAAAAGAGGCTTAGCCAACGCAATAGCAACAAACAACAAAGGAACAACACAACGACGCAAAAACAAATAACATGTCTGAAACATACGGTTTGTCACACTTTTAGCTCGTAACTGGAATTAATTGTTAATTGCATTTGTATGTTGTTTGCTCAACTTTCAGATTACCTGTTCAAATTTCTAATAATAGGTAGTGCGGGCAGCGGAAAAAGCTGTCTCCTGCATCATTTCATCGAAAGCAAATGTAAGTTTAACAAACACTTTGCCAGAAACTGTAAATATTACGGAAAGCGCATCCTCGATTCCAAAAACTATATATGTATATACATGTATACTGTAACTGTGCAAAATGCTGACATATATGTTGCTTGTTTCCATTTGGTGATAACACGATATATAATATATATTGGCCCGCATTTCTTCAGATATATTTATCTTACGACTTTTTACATTTTTCTGCAGTCAAAGACGACAGCTCGCACACGATTGGCGTCGAGTTCGGCTCGAGAATTGTGAATGTTGGCGGCAAATCGGTGAAGCTACAAATATGGGACACAGCTGGCCAGGAGCGTTTCCGTTCGGTGACACGCTCCTATTATCGCGGTGCGGCTGGTGCTCTTCTGGTATATGATACCACAACGCGGGATTCGTTTAATGCTTTGACAAATTGGCTAAATGATGCACGCACGCTGGCCAGCCCAAATATAGTTATTTTGCTGGTGGGCAACAAAAAGGATTTGGAGGAGGCGCGCGACGTTACATTCTTGGAGGCTAGCACCTTTGCCCAGGAAAATGGTGCGTGTATACTGAAGGGAACTCCTGAGAACTCCGTAATTTAACCAATCATTACATTTCTTTAGAGCTTATATTTTTGGAGACGAGCGCCAAAACGGGCGAGAACGTCGAGGAAGCCTTCCTCAAGTGCTCGAAGACCATACTGGCCAAGATAGAGACAGGCGAGCTGGATCCAGAGCGCATTGGCAGTGGCATACAGTACGGTGGGACAGCGCTGCGCAATCTACAGACGCGACAGCGCAGCATCAACAAGCCCGATTGCACCTGTCGAGTGTAGATGTTGTGGGAGTATTTCACCCAGGTCGCTTAGCATGCACGCGAACAATATCTGTGTATTAGTTTAGGCGAGCAAAAATAATCTCATTTAATCTCTAACTAATTGATACGAAACCGCATTAGCCTTAGTTATATGTACGCGTGTTTGTGTGCGTTTGTGTGTGTGTGTCTTTCATCGGCATTTGTGCGGTCAAATACTGTTTTGGCCCACTGTGCAACGTTTCGCCCCAATTTTGTTAAAATTGTTTAACCGAATCTGCTGTGCAATTTGTGGCATTCCAAGTTAGTTCGCTTTGTTTGTTTTTGATTTAATGACTCTACTTCAATTGCTGAATTAATTGTACAAGTTTTTCCTTCAAAACGTTACTTATATATTGTAAATTGTAAGCTTTTCAATTATTGTTAACCAGTGGCGGGCCCAATAGCAACGATTAACAACTGGAACCGACCAGTTGGTGGCTGGCAAAGCGCCTGAATCACCATCGGACGGATTGATAATTAACATAAATGCGCCCAGCATTTTGTAAATAAGCGGCGTCAAGTTTGTTTGACAAAGCAAATTGTAAAGAATTTTAAAATGAATAATAATGCACGCGGTAAATAAAAGCGCAAACTAAATAATTAAAATGCAATTAAGGTCTCTCGAGCGTTGAAGTTGTGCACTTATTTAGTGCTGACTGGTATTACCCGGCTAGGCCCGGGCCTAGATTTGTTTAGACTCCACTTGTCTACCCATATCTCTACTTTTTATATAGTCAACAGAATGGCAAACAAAAATAGCTAATATAACTATATGCTGCCAATTCCCACAGCTGCAGGTGGATTCTACCAAATCCATCACATAACAGTAACAATTCTCTTCAAGCTCTTTTGGGGACAGTTTTATACACATAGTTAGAAATTTATTAATATATTTTGGGTTAACATATTTGAAATTTTTGGAAATTCATTTGTTGCATAAAGGTTCTCAAGTGTCATTCCGGGATCAGGAATATTTTTGATTTGATTTTAACTAAAACTGACCATTTTAAAGCTGACTAGAGCTTTGAACTATATTCATGTACATAAATAATTGTAAATATTGTATAAAAAATTTATTGCATAGCTAAAATGATTACATAAAATGTACTTTTAACAAATGTTACGACGTTTAAAGTAATGGATATAATGGACATGAGCACATTAGAAATTCCTAAGGAAAAACACATACTGACGAACTGAAAGTAATAGAAAAAGAGATTAAAAAAAAAGACTAAAATAAAATTGGACTCATGCCTCGGATTTGGCCAACTTTTGGAGTGCATGCTTGGCAGCTGAGAGCTTGGCCTGCTTGCCATTGTTGCCAAATCCATAGACCTTGATGGTCTTATCCATGCATATGAATTGGCAGGTGACCATTACTTGGTTATTGTCCATGATGGGCGGGCTAAAGGTAGGCTTTGCCAGCTTGTGCTCAAACAGCTGACGGATGGGATTTAATGGCACATTGCGCGAGAATTCGAGCAGTTCGGGCTCAAAAAGTCTATAGACCACTTGCCAAGTGGTCGTTAAATCGCGGCAGTCCAAATAAACGGCGGCTATCAGTGCCTCCAGGACATCACCCAATGCCTTGGGCACGTCCACATTGTGCGAAATGTTGAATTCACCCACGTGCGGCGCATCAGCCCCATTAATAGCGAGCTTTTGCTGTTTTTCTGCTTCAGCCAGCTCCAATTCGTCATCGGAATCGAGTGGATCAGGCTTGACATCGCTCTCCTCCATGAGAATGCGCACATGGTTGGTAACGCGATGATTCTGCGACTCCTGGAACTGCACAAAGCTCTGAATGGACTCCGTAAGCAGTGCGTTCTCGGCCAGGATGAAAAAGTGGAAACGATGACGCACACAAATACAAGCCAGAGTCGTATTGTTGACCAGGGCCGAGCGCAGATCCGTCAGTTGACCCGGCGTCATGCGCGTCTTGTGCTCGAATATATATGCTGAGATGAGGAAGTCCAAGATGGCATCGCCAATAAATTCTAGCTCCTGGTAGCAGCCCGTCAAACGATTTGTCGGATTTGAGGGATGTGTCAGCGCCTGCAGCAGATAGGCGCGATCACGGAATGTATAGCCCAGATTCCGTTCCAAATGTTGATGGTTAATCAAAAATCCATCCACTTCACGCTGCGATATATTTGTTCGCATGCGTGCGCTACCCAGCTGCAGGTCCAGCAACTGGGTCAGCGGCTTGCCAATGTCCGACTTACAGATGCCAAAATATTCAAGCATGCGGAAGCCGTGCTGCAGTCCATAGTTCTTGACGACCACGCCCAACAACGCCTCCAGCGTATCGGCAATCAGTTTGTCCGGCATCTGGACCAATCCCACACAGAAATTGATCTCGCTACTAAAGTCCATGCCCGCATGATGTGTATACTGATTCGCTTGACAGCCATCCACAAAACTTCGATAGACATGTTCTCCGCATTTGCCATTACCAAATACCTCCTCCTCGCTAATGCATAAATTGCGTATATTATGCGGCCCCACTAGCGCAGCCAATTCCGGTTTCTCCTTCCATAGCGCCAGCACATTCTGGGGCAGACCCAGGCTGGGCGGCAGCCACGTGTACTTCGGTGTGAACAGAGTGCTGCAGATCCGAGTGGGTATATCCGTTTCGCTGAGGCAGTACAATAGATTACGATTGGAGACCAGCGTGGACTTCACCTGATGCAGGCATCAAATTCAATGCAGGAGAAGAAGAGGAGGCATTAAATATATAACAAAAAATGTCATAATATGTCTATATAATCTTGAGCACATTGTGCCTTTAGATGACATAGTATTTCTGTCCTAATCAAATCTTTCAATCATGCTTACTAATCTAGCTTTCAGCTAATCGAAGACGTATTTTTATATATACGTAAGATTCAGTTGTCAAGTCTTGATTGGAATTAAGGCTGCAAGCCGGTTTTGACACAAGCGTGCTCCAACCGGAAATTTTAATTTATTTATTTTTACTTAGAAACAAACTGTACTAACCTGGGTTAAAATGCCCTCATTCCAGTCCGGATACTTGTTGGCCAAATAAAGCGTGGCGCTGAGCTTGAGAAAGCAATCGCCGAGCAGCTCGAAACGCTCCATGTCAAAGACATCAACGCTGCCCGCATATGTGATGGCGGCCAGGAACTCGCCCTGCTCTGCCGGTGTTATGTGCTCATTGGAGATGCTGCGCTGTAGGACCGACAGCTGCACCTGTTCAACCCGCCTGCCATTGTCGCCGCTGGCGGGCAGCAGGGCGGGCAGCTTATGGTCGCTCTTCTGACAGCTGTATATGTTGCCCTCGCGCATTTTGAACTGGGTCTGGGTCCAGAGCTCTTTATCCTCATGCTCCAGTTTGTCCAGATTGAGCAATTGACCGCTGGTAAAGTTATAGAAATAAGAGAGCTCGACGGGATACGTGGACATGATGTTGCGCGCAATGTCCAACGGTTCCATATACTTTTGCCACGGCACCTCCAGATCTGTTATTTCCAGTTTCTCCATGGCCACCTCGATGCCTTTGGTGGGCAGCGGCTCTAGAACCGGACGTGGCTCCTCGTACTCATCAGCGTGCACGGGATTGCCCTGATGATCTACATTGCGGCGCAGCGAACAATCAATTTCCAATGGTCGTGGTCTATAGTTGACGCCATTCTGCGGCAATTTGTCCAGTCCGAGATACTTGTTAATCCGCACACGCAGCGTCTCGGCATGCAACATATAGTATATGCGGCGCAAAATGCTGGGCAGAAAGATCAACTTCACCCATAGATCGCCGGGAAAGGCAAAATTGAAGCACAGTTCTGGTATGAGCATCACCTTGGCACGCGCCTTACTCTGTGCCGAGGATTTGGTGCGTTGCTTCACATAAAAATTCAGCTGATCGGTCAATTCGCGCACCTCGATCAGGAAGTGCTGCTTGTGGACAACATTGCCAATATAATTGCTATACTTGGCCATGGTGAACTGATAGTAGCTCTTATCCTGCTGCTTCTCCTCCATCATGCTCATTGGCGTCAGATCTGTGTGCACCTTGGTCACCAGCATGCGCTTGTCATCATAGTTGGCATACCATTGTGTAACAACCTTGCCCTCGTAGTCCTCGGGCTTTGGTGGCGGCATTTGTTTGCGTTGTGCCAAACTGAGGGCCTGCGCCTTGGGCAGGCTTTGGAATTGCTCTACCAGGGGCCAATCTATGCCGACGCCAGGCGTCGCCGCAAGCGGCACCACCAGAAATGTGTGCTCGCCACCGCAACGATCAAGCATAAAGAATGGCTGCCAAATGCGCAGCAGATCACGAAAGATCATGACATGGAAATGCTGCAGCTGTTCCAACTGTTGCTGCTTCTCAATTGTCAGCTCTAGCGGCTGTTCCGCAACATGCACATGCATCTCGCCCTGATGGCTGAACAGCGGCATCGCGGCCAGGCGCGGCAGACGCTTCCTCAACAGCAGGGCATAGTTGCGGCGTGTTTGGAGCGAATCGTATATGTGACGTGTATAGTCGTTGCGGTCGTATTGCGCTTCCAGGATAATCTCATAGGCGTAGCAGACCTCACCCACTCGCGGCATGGCATCATTTAGTTCCGATGGGCATTTCGTTGCATACGTTTTTATATCTGTTTTCACCGGATCACGATCTCTGCGCTTAATGGTCACTGGAAGGGGCAAAAACGTTACAAATTAGTAAATCCGATATACGCAAGCATTTACCATAGATAATTAAAAACTAAGGGAAGTCTGAGAGCCGGCCAAGCCATGAAATCTTATGTAAAATGGAAATATGCCAACAAAATCTCAACAACTACTAAGGAATCTGATCTGGTTAATAATTTCAGCTATTAAATTCTTTCAATATAATTCTTTCAATATAAAATATATTATTAGGAATTGCGTCAAGCAAACTGCATAATTTGAAGATCTATATGTGTTTAAATTTCTATTTCCACATTTCTTTTGCTGAGAAATCAATATTAATACTCAACAATATGTTAAAACCATAGAAAAGCTGGAATTTTCTGGGTTTAATGGAGCTTTTGAAAACAAAAATGACTTTCATGACCTAATTTTTGTCAGAATATTTCTAGAATATCATTAGGATATATTGGTTTGATCGTCAGGAATAAAGCATACATTTGACAAACACTTTAAAGGGTCGAAGATGTATTCATAAATAAGTTATTCAACACTTTTTATACTCTTTACAAATACTGTCCAAAAAGTATGCTTTGTACATTTTTGTGGAACTGTTTCGATAGTGGAATATGAGTGAGTATTTCGGAAATTATCAATCAGTAGCAATTGCCAAGGTTTCATAACATACTCCCATGAAGGGCATCATGATTTGCTTGAAACCGAACCAAAGTTGTTAATTAACGTTTGTGGAGATGTACAGATTATAGAGATAATCGGTAATTTGCATTACGCACCATCATCGCCATACTTTTTCCAGTGATCAAAGTGAAAATTGGCGATCTCGGCAACGCGTTCGTTAACTGTTGTGGGCAAAAAGCGCTCATTGAGTTCGCCCAAGGCGTGCAGTTTGATGCAGGCCTTAAAAGCCGCCGAGATCTTGGCCCATCGGGCACAAGGCATGGGATCGCTCTGCAAGAGGAGAAGGAAAATTGGTTTTGTGCTATAAATATTCCGTTCTGGCTTACATAGATGGCTTCGCGTAGCGTTGAATTAAGTGGCAAAGTGATGGACACTATATGCTTTCTCTGCCAATCTGAAGTAAATTTTTTGACTTCCTCTGGCTCCAGCAGCTTAAACCAAGGCAACACAATGCCAAACGCATCCGATGGCATCTGCTGGCAATAACGATGCAGTAGGGCCAGCGCGCTGCTAGCCAGCAGCACGGCGCCATTCTTATTGATGAACGGCTGTATTTCATCCTGGAAATGCTCGTTCATTTCGTCCATTTGCGGATCCGTGCGCTCCAGCACACGATCCTTCAAATATTCGCCTATCTCGGTGTGTGCCTTCCGATACTGATGTATCTGCTCTGATATCTTTTGCTGTTCCAACTCCGATGAGAACAATATAAACGATGAATCTTTTGAACGTGCCCGTCCTTTGGTCTGCACATACATATTAAAAGTTTTAATCGGATCCAGTATAATCACATAGTTGCAGGCCTGCACATCAATGCCCTCCTCCAGCACGCTGGAGCATATCATCATGTTGGCCTCGCCATCGCGAAACTGCTGAATGGCCTGCAGAACGAGAACGCAAAACAAATCAGAGTCAACAATTTGCTACAACAATTTTTTGCTATCCATAACATAGCGAAACGTTATCTAATTTAAACTGAACACATGAACAAATGACATCAGTTTTCGAGCTCGACGGGTATAAATTTTCGAGAATGCTACTCACCGATTTCTGCCAGCGACGCTCAAGTATGCTTTCGAAATCAAGAAAAATGCTGTTGCGTCCAACCATAAACTGCGGGAATAGCGAATTGCGCAGCTCGGGCGTGGCGGCAATAAAGTTGAGAAGCAGCCCATAGATGCATTTACACGTATATCGACGCTCCACAAAGACCAAACAACAAATGTCCTTGGGCTCTTTGTTGGCAAAGGCTTTCTTCAAATAATGCAAAAACATTTGCACCTTGGGTGTAGAGAAGTTCATAATAACCTCTTCGGAATTGAGCTCATCATCGGACATCTCCTCATCGTCGAGCATGTCGCGCAGCTTGGCAACCAGCGCGTGGCGTATGCTCTCGCAGAGCGTTATGACAGCACGATACATGTTCCGCAAGGAGAGTGTCTCGGCCTGGCGGCGCTTAATCTCGAACTCGACCAGCACAGAAACGATGGCAATCGAGCCTGCATAGACGCCATAGTTTTCGATTTGGAATAGAAAGTCATTAAGTACTAACTTAATGGAATTTTTCTTGTTTGGTTCGCGCTGCAAACGCATGCCCCTCGACATGCGCACTGGTTGATGGCCAATATCGACGAGATCCAGCGCTCTATAGAAGCTCTCGATGTTGCAGCGTATGTTGTCAATTATTTCAAATCTCTGGACCACCGCTTTATACGTAATTAGGCATTCCCGTGGCTTTGTCGAGTGACTGAAAGAGAGAAACAGAAGATCAAGATTTATTGGAGTCCAGATATGCGTTGTTTGCTTACAGTATTACATTCTCCATTTCCTTCATGTCGGAGACGGTGACAATGTTGCCACGAAATGTGGTCTCCAGTGTCTTTAACTTTTTGCCCACCTGCTTAATTTCATTGCCCTTGATTAGAACGCCCGTCAGACCTACGACCCGGGGCAGCGACGAGCTTTCCGATTGCATTTGAAACAGTCGCATGAACTCATGATATGGATGCGAACCGGTTCCATGATGACACTCATCTATTATCGCAATGCTCACCGACTTCAGTTCCATGTGCTTTTGCAGAAACAAATTAAGTATGACTTGAGCTGTGCCCACCAGCACCTGCGAAGCAGAAGAAAATCGGTTCAATACATTTTCAAAATTGTATCTAGACAACTTTTATGTTTGTGAGCCGACATACGGCTGACCATGCATCCCAGCGGATGCCCCTTATAAAATCATGCTAAGCTGCGATTAGCTCTACCAAAATTTAATAAAAGCATTCTAAACACAGACATCAGTCGAGTACGACGTCTTCTGTTTGGATATTATAATCCTTATTTAACATATTTAATGAAACAATTCTAAGCCATTCTGGATGCAGCAATAGAAAAAATATATTAATAATATTTAAAAAATATTATCTGGTAATACTATTTATTGCACAGCTGAGCTGGTCTATCCGTAGAATTGAATAGAAAGTAACGAAAAGATAAGTCCGTCTAAAATCTGAAATGCACATAGAGCGGGCATATCTGCTAATAGATAAGAAATATGTTGTATGACTCATGTGTCGATACGTGATTCTACTTGTAAGTGCAAAAATCTCAAAGGAATGATATGCTCCTGCAGAATTTTGTAATATGAAACCATAAAGAAAGTAATCTTTTCTGTATAAGTTTGTATATCCGTTGTGTACTCACTTGATTGTCACGTATTTCGTCCGACCATTTGGAACGATTCCAATTATCGGTGCCCTGCTCGCCGACATAGAACCCAACTTTAAAATTTGTAAACTTTTTAACGTAGACGGCCTGCTGGCGGGCCAGCTCAACCGTATTGCAAATGAACAACGCACGCTGGCCGTCCTCCTCGATCGATCTGCAATATGTAAACAAATACGAGCGCTCGAATATGAATATATATATATATATATATATATATATATGTATATATATATATGTAGACGACTTCAAGTGTGTGTGCCTTGAAATGTGAAGCGAGTTTTAATGTGTATCCGGATAAGTCAACATCTGGGGTGGTCTATACGACACAAAGTGTACCAAAAACGGGTACATTAGCTAATGAATGGTACACTGGAACATTTATTTTACAGAACTTATAATACTTTTGCAACCAATGTTATTGTTTATACATATTTTTTTATATTTGCTGTAGTTCTTATAATCATTTTGTGCGTAGCTTAAAAAAAGAATCAAAAAAACATCATTATTAACGTTATTTTTAAAATGTTTTCATTCGATTTGTAACATTATAACTAACTATAACTAAAGGTACCTGACGACTGAAAGTGTGTGTCAATTGAAATATGAAGCCAGTAACCTTTAGTGTGTATCCGGATAAAACAGCATTCCGGATGGCCTATACGACTGTTGCCACAAACTGTACCAAAACGGGTACCTTAGTTGGTACACTGCAAATTGTACTATTTTATTTATTATTTTTTTTAAATAATTTTGAGCGTAGATTAAAAAAGACTCAAAAATCACATTATTTAAGTAATTTTAAAATGTTTCCTTTTTATTGGATTTGTTACATTACAACAACTAAAGGCACCTGGTGCAGGTGGTTCTTACTAATTTCCAATTGTCGATAACTGCTCGCATTTACTTTCGATAAATATCGATTTTAAGCTTCGATTTCAGTGCACAACTGACAGTTTATTAAAGCTTAAGACAACAAAAGTTGCTGTTTATTAGTTTATTATTTAAAGGTAAAAAGTTACGCACTTTCTGGATACCTTATTTAGGGCTTCGCTATCGCTTTGCTTTGAAAACTTAGTAACGTTCGGGCAAAAAACAGGAAAATGTTAAAAAAAAATAAATGTTGTCATGAAGATTGTGAAATGCATGCCTTCGCGTGTGTGAATTGTTAAGTGCAGGGTATCTCCTAGCAGCACACTCATTTGTTCATTCATAAAATAGTTTTTAAATCAGTTATAGACTCGTAGTTTACGCACTAACCTGTCCATGTTGTTGGAGAAGCGCTTCAGCGCCAGGATGGCCACGTATGTTTTACCCGAGCCGGTGGGCAAATAAATAATGCCATTGCGTTTGGTTATGTACTCAACCAGGCGCAGTTGATAGCCGCGTGCCTAAAGCAAAGCATGCAATTTAAATATACGAACTTGTGTTTTATTTACTGGGCATTAAATACCTCCAACTTATCATTTTCCATATTCACGTTCAGTTCTCCGAATTAAAATCCGCGACTACTGCACTTTATCACTGCCAATTGTAGACTGAATTCTTAGGCGAAGGGCGCACACAAATGCAAATGCAACACAGACACAGAAGTGTTTCCGACGCGACTCGTTTCGTATTTCGCTCCTTCGTGTTTTCTTTGTAGCTTTTCTTAAAGTTGACGTGGCACTTACTGTGATATGGCGGCCCTCACTATTGACGCTTTCAGCGTTGGAGAATTCGTATTTTGGGGATGTACCGCTTTCTGGCACACAGCTACACCTGTTTTTATACGCAAGTGTTTACATACCGGTGCGATCGTTTCTTGGCAGCATTTGATTGTGCGTCGTGTTCACTTTAACAAAGATGTGCTTTTAATTTGTGATCATAAATGCATTTATAAGTTTAACTATTTACAATTGTCCCAATTCAAACAAATAATAAAAGCAAAATATATACGCGACAATCGGACTGCACCAAAACTCATCCGCTCTTGCGTGTGACTGTATCGTGAAAATAAAAAATACTCCTATTTAAGGCTGACAGCTGTTGTGGGAAATATCGTAAAATAACCATTGACAAATTATTCGTTAAGCGATACTTAAAGTCTTGCTCCAGCACTAATTGCCAGCCCTGGTTTTAACAGCCCTGTTTTGTTTACTGTGAGTCAATCACTCCAATAATAAAGAATTTTCCATTTCGTTGCAAAATTGAAGCTGAAATTAAATTGCATATATATTTTAAGAATGTTTATGTGAATTGCGTACAACAAACGCTGTCAACAGTGTAAAACAAGATACAATTACCAAAAGTACAAAGCGTGTTTGTTTAAATATATTCACAAAGTAGTAGGCGCTGTAAAACAACAAAAACAACAACAATGGTTGGAATTATTGATGATGCGCAGCTGTTTTATCCGCTAGGCACACGCATCAAAATAGCCAACAATTATGGCACCGTCAAATACGTGGGCGAGGTAAGCTTTGTTACAAATATAATTTCCAATGCCTTTAATCAATTAACAATTGCGTTGCAGGTCAGTGGCCACATGGGCACATGGCTGGGCATTGAGTGGGACGACGGGATGCGGGGCAAGCACAATGGCATGGTCGATGGCAAGCGTTATTTCCAAACCCAAATGCCAACAGCTGGCAGTTTTATACGCCCCGGCAAACTGGGACCCTGTGCCACGCTGGAGGATGAGGCACGGGAGCGATATCTGAATTACGATTCAAAAAATGTGGACACATCGTTGATACGCGAGGCACAGGCCTCAATGCAAGCATCGCTCTTCGAAGTTGTGGGCATGGACAAGATTGCGCGCAAGCAAAGCAAATTTGAACAGCTGACGGAGATGAGCGTGGATGAGACTCCAGTGAATGCAGCCGGCTACCTGAAGGATCTGACGCAGCTGACGACGTTGAATGTGAGCCACACGCTCATTTGGAATTGGGAGATTGTGGCCAGCATAACGCAGCAGCTGCCCATGCTCAGCAGCTTGAACTTGGGGTAAGTTGCTGTCTTTTATTTGACTTTAACCTTTTCACAAATAACTTTTATTTTCAGATCCAATCGGCTGGTGTTGCCCACAGAGACAAAAATCAGTGAGCTGGTCCCAGCATTTCGTCACTTGAAACACATTAATTTGGGCAATTGCGGTTTTACGGATTGGCAGGATGTGATGCAAACGGCGCTGCTATGGCCGGACATTGAATCGCTTGGCTTGCAAGAGAATGCACTGAGTCAACTGGACGTGGTCGACTGCAATCGCATTTTCAGGCAGTTGCGTGAACTGGATCTGCATCGCACCAAACTGATGGACTTTGATCAAGTGTGTAAACTGGGCAATATTCGTACCTTGCGTGTGCTCAATCTTATGGAGAACGGTATTGAGCAGCTGCAGCTGCCAGACTGTGAGCCGCAGGCCAAGCTAAATATGTTTGTATCTCTGGAGCAGCTTAGCTTAATGCAAAATCCCATATGGAATGAGGTGAATAGCAATTGAAATTGCAATCATTTCTAGTTTTTAAACTTGGTTCTAAACAGACTGAGGCATTCAACGAGCTGGACAAATTGCCACAATTGAAGCGCCTAAACAAGACGCCGCATTTGAAGTCAAGCTTCGATGAAATGTTTTCCAAGGCAGTGGCCAGCATAGCCGGCATACAGTTTATCAACAAGGCAAAGGTAACAGCGGAGGAGCGCCGTGGAGCCGAATATGATATATGGAAAAAGTATGCATTAGACTGGCTGCAGGCAACCAAAATGGGCGCCGATGCACTGCGCGATTTCTACAAGAAACATCGTACCTATTTGCTGATTGTTAATAGTAAGTTGTAATTCAAAGTTATAACAATGCGACTTTTAAAGTTCCCTCCTACTGCCACAGAATATGGATCGCCAGCTGATTTTGTGCCGCGCATTCAGGCCAAACAATCGAATCTCATTAAAGTGCGTATACAGCACCGGCTGACAGGTGAAGTTTGGGAAAAGAAGGTGCCCCGCATGATAACTGTGCAAACATTACAAGGACTGGTCATGAAGCGTTTTCATATAGCCGGAGATACGCCGCATCTGTGCTATATAGATGCCAAACATCCGGAGCTTGTCGTGCAATTGGAAAATAATGCTAAAACATTGGATTTCTATTCAGTGCAGGAGCACGATACAGTGTTGGTTGAATAGTGCGGCACTACGGAATGCAATTTTTTTCGTACCTCCCTTTACTCCAGTAACCCCTAATTTGGTATTTAATTGTGGTATTTTAGCTCTAAAGCAAGCACAAAACAAATTCAAAAGACGTGCATGTTGAATTATATTATATTAACTGTGACAGCCTTTGTAACCTATGCAATGCAAAATTAATAATGTTAATGTTAGGTACTTAAGTTCAAATTCCGCTTTCCGATTATATTTATATTAATTTTTGTTTTGTTTTTGCAAAGTAAAAAGGAACGTTTATTAACCAAAGCCTTCAATATTGCTCATTCACAGTGTTGACAATACAGCTATATACTAGCTAAAATTGGCTATATTTTAGGGTTTCCGGCTAAAAAGCTAATATATTAAAGCAGCCCAGATAGCTATGTAGATAATTAAGCTTAACTTACTTAACTACTTTTTTGAATCGGCAGACGGCAACACTCATTACAAACGATAGCTCGCATTTTTCTGCACAATGAACGTATCGATACCGCCAAAACGCAAATTGCGTACGCGATTAGTATTATGTATCGATAACTTGTCAGTAACACCAACGCGATGCGGATATATTGGCTAACAAGTTCTTTCATGTTGCTTAATTGCAATAAAAACATATTACGGCCAACAGGTGCACATCGTAATTTATCCGCCACAGTGCAGACCAATGGAGAAAATACACAAGTGACACCGCCGCCGCCAGTCGGCGTCGAAAACAACAACAAAAATCCACAACAGCAGCGATCGCTTCACATAGCCGTAATCGGGGTACCAAATGTGGGAAAGAGCACCTTCATCAACAACATTATTAATCACAAAGTGAGACATCACAATTAGTAAACAATTGGCAAACTAAACCAAGCTTCATTTAAGGTATGCCCCACCTCGGCCAAGGTGCATACAACCCGCAAAGCGAACACCGCAATTCTTACGACGGGCCAGACGCAGCTCGTCTTCTACGATACGCCCGGACTGGTGACACAGAACGAGATACGCAAACATCATTTAGAGCAGAGCTTCAAGAGCGCCTATCGCCATGCCATTCAACATGCGGATATTATAGCTGTTATGCAGGATGCCTCCAACAGCTGGACGCGTAAGGAGTTGCATCCCACAGTGCTTGACACGCTGAAGGCTTATGCCCAGCTGCCCAGTTTCCTGGTACTTAACAAAGTTGATGCCTTAAAATCAAAGCGTGTGCTCTTGGATCTAATCAAGACACTGACGAATGATACACTCAATGGCAAGCGTCCAAGCAAAAAAGTTGACTTGCCCAACAAGGAAGAACAGGTGACGGCGGGCCATCCATTGAACAAGCGTGAAACTAGCTGGAACCATTTTAGCGATGTATTCCTGGTATCCTCAATAACAGGCAGTGGCCTGCAAGAGCTGCAGGACTATTTGATTAGCGCCGCCAAGCCAAGAGACTGGCGTTACGCTTCCAACGTCTACACGGATGAAAAGCCCGAGTCGTTAATTGTGGAAAGTGTGCGCGCACGTTTGCTCGACTACCTGCCGCAGGAGATACCCTATAATTTGAAATGCGAGCTGGAATACTACAATGTGGAGAAGCGTATGTATGGAAGGCTGGACTAGATATGTTTTAAATCTGTTTTTGATATTGCAGATGTTGTCTACACCTCGGTAGTGGTGCAGTGTCCTACGCCGCGAATTGAGCGCCTGATCTGTGGTGAATCGAATGGAAAATTGCGCCAGATAACCGAGCGTGTGACTTCGGATTTGGTGGAAATGTTTGGTCAAGCCGTGTCATTAACCATATCCACAATGTCCGGCGGCAAGAAGGCGGTATAATTGTTCCAAATCGGGTTTGTTGTTTCCTTCCTTCACTAAGTACAATATTAAAACAAAAAATAGTAGTTTAAATGCTATTTATAAAAGTTTCAAATGAGCAACTAGCTTATCCAGTTCGGCAGCTGTTGCCGGTCCCAAGCCCAGCACCGTGGCTGTGCCAGCCTCCAGCTGCGTGCGTCCGGCGTCCCTCACCAATGCGGCAACCACATCTGCTTGCTGTGCTTGCAGCTGCAGTCCGTTCAACTGCTCGTAGCTGTCCACGCGCAGCACAATCTTCGGCTGGCCCATGCGGCACCAACGCTGCAGCAGAGCGTGCTGCGCCTCGCTGCCCTGTGCAGCGTGTTGGTAACACATGACGGCGGCATGGGCGCACTGTGCCGCCGTTTTACCTTTGCTCATCTTGAGGTCGCCGCGCACGACGAGCGCCAGTTTGGTTGCGGCGCAGCTGCTGGTGCTGACGAGTTTTTGTCTGATCTTATTTAACATTGGCGTACTTTTTGGACTGCTGGTCCACGTAGTTTTGCATGCACGCCTTAAACTCTTTGACTTTGTCCTGGCACATGCGCCAGTCGCCCGTTTCTGCGATGCACTCCTGTACCTTGTAGTGTAGCTCAATGCAGCCCGTTTTCTTAAGCATCAATTCTACGGGATCCTGTTCCACAGCGGACATATTTAGCTTTTTTTTGAGTGTTATGAAAGCAACTCCAGACTTTCAGGCGGCAACGTTCGCAGCGCTATCGGCACTGGCACACGCTTTATATCGATATTTGTGCAGGTAGCTTGCGATACTTTTGGTATCTACAATCTTTCAACCTATCGAAAAGGTTCGATTACGTGCAATTTGAAGGCGAACACCCGTTACATTCAAAACATGCTTTCAATTTCAAGGTGAAATAATATTTTTAATAAAATAAATTAATAATTTAATGACACAAAGAATGTGTATGTTATATGCATATACTTGCTATATACATCAGTATCACACATGGGCTGAATAATAAACACAAAAAAAATTAATAAATATATGATTTGGTGTAAAAAGTGTGTGACTAAAAAGTTTAGGAACACAAACTCATGGATAACTTAAAGGTGCTTAGATATTTGACTTCCCTACAACCTGTCCAAATACTGTGCAAGTTCGGGCAGTCCTGGCTTGAGAGCCTTGCGTAAGCGCGTATTCTGCACAATCTGGTAGGGTTTGCTGCTGGGCTCACACGGATCACCCGGCAGCATCTGCCAATGATCGAACACACATTGTGGGAAGGCTTGGCCGCGTGTATTGGTACGCAGTTCGGCTGTGAAACCAAAGGATTCGTTGACGGGCAAATAACATTTTACCACATACATGGGCGTGCCCGGCACCTGCGCCTCCTCAAAGACATGACCACGTCGTCGGCTCAGCACCTTGTGTATGCTCCCAACGGCCAAATTATGGCATTGGATCTCGCACAGATACACCGGCTCTAAGAGCCGCGGACTCGCCGTGATGGTTGAGGCGTATAAGCAGCGTCGTGTCGTTGGAATTATCTGGCTACCGCTACGGTGTACGGCATCAGCATGCACAACCACATCGTGTATATCGAAGCGTACCCCACGCATGTTCTCCTCGGCCAAGACGCCTTCCTTGGATGCCCATTGGAAACCGGCAACTACCGAGTCCTTGATCTCGTGCAGGTACTGCACCGACTTGGTACAGTCCACAATTATGTTCGGACCATTGCACTCCGGACCAAAACACCAGATTTTGCGCGCTTCGCTCACGTCATAGTCGTACTTCTCGTTCAGGTAACGCGCGCGTTTCTTGAACTCATCCCGGGCAGACACAATGCCGTTGTCAATGTCCTCAGCCAAGCCATCGGGCATGGGTGCGGCTTTCATGGTGAGGCGATTGTGCTTGTTGCGCGACTTGGACAGGCACAATTGGCTGGACTGCTCCAAGACAGTTTCGCGATATGATACCAGAGGATCTGACGTTTTCAGTGGAATACGCGCATGGTCCTCCTCGAGATCCTTGATGCAAATTTCCAAATGCAATTCACCGGCGCCAGCTATAATATGCTCACCCGACTCTTCGATGATGCACTGCACCATGGGATCGGATTTGGCCAGACGTTTCAGACCAATCACTAGCTTGGGCAAATCGGCTGGATTCTTGGGCTGAACGGCAACGCGTACAACTGGCGATACGGAGAACTTCATGACCTGCGGGTTTTAAAATGAATATGAGTTTGTCGATTGATTTACGTGGAGCTCACTTGCCTTCATGTTGTGCGCTTCCTTAAAGGTTGTGATTGTGCCCGTCTTCACCAGAAACTGGTCTACGCCGACCAGACCGCAAATGTTGCCCGCTGGCACATCCTCAATGGCTTCCACGGAGCGACCCATCATTAGAACCGTGCGCTGAATCGCCTTTTCGTACAGGTCCTCCTTCTTGCCGGGCACATAGTTGGGGCCCATGATGCGGCATTTCTGTCCGGTGGCCACCTTGCCGGCAAACACTCGACCAAAAGCATAGAAGCGTCCTATATCTGCGGTAGGCACCATTTTTGAGATGTACATCATCAGAGGACCATCGGAATCACAGCTCCTAATCGCAACAGCCGCTTCGTCGCTTTGCGGACCTTCGTACAACAGCTCCATGCGGTATTTCTGGGCTATCACAGGCGAAGGCAGGTGGATAGCGATCATTTGAAGAAGGGTCTCGCCCGCTGGCAGCCAGCTGCGCATCACTGTCTTCAGGAGCACCTTGCCCTGCTGCTCCTGCTCCTCGGGCTGCAGCCTTACACCAATTTTCTCTAGCAAGCCGGATATCTCCTCCGTTTTATAGTTCATAATGGCATCGAATACCTTGTAGATGGGATCTGATATGTATAGGCAAAATGAGCGCTTACTATCCGAATCCTGATGCTTTTGCCATTTTCTTGTCTTCGTGTTGAAAAAGTTGTTTCCCCAGAGACTGTGAGTGAAATTATATAATGATAATTTAATATAATATATATAAATGGGACATGTTTCATCAAAGCGATTTTAAACTTAAAAAATGAAGAGGATTTTTCCTCTTTCTAAAAAAATACTTAAAATAAGAGTTTTTCGATTCAAGACTACAATTTAGATAAAAATGTACCAAAAGGATCTTAGAAATCTTTAGTGGGATAAAACAAAATTTAATGATTTCTTAAACTGTTTTTAGTTGAAAATTAAAATCAATCAGAGAAACTTTCCGTCCCATTAAACTGTTTGCCTCCCAAACAATTCCCCATTAAAACTTTAAGAAGTTCTTGTAGTAAGATCAAAGTACTTACCGTTTCATCAATTTAGCCACATCGATCTTAAACTTATCGGCGTACATTTCAGCGAACTGTTTCAGCGTGAAGGCCCAGCCGTGCAGACCCGATCCGAAGCCAACTGAACCCTTTGAGGGATCAACAGATACTTCGCCCATGGGTCCACTATCATCATTGTAGGTGGCAATAATGAGGTTGACATTCTCCACAATGCGCTGGAATGTTAGATACAGCTCCTCCGTGTCCAATTGTAGTTCGAGCAGAGCACGATCCATTTTGTTAAGGAACAGAATTGGTCTAATGCGTTCCGCAATTGCCTGACGTAGGACCGTTTCCGTTTGCACACAGACGCCGGAGACGCAGTCCACAACGACGAGGGCGCCATCCGTGACGCGGAGAGCGGCCGTCACCTCCGAGGAGAAATCCACGTGACCGGGTGAATCGATTAGATTGATAAGAAAACCGTTTGTGTCTTTTTCTCTCTGATCGGGTTGCGTGATAAAGCACAAATCCTTGTCCTCAACCTCAAAGTACATGGTGATGGCACTATTGAGCGTGGGAGGGATACCATTATGAACTTAGAAAGGGCTTGCAAGAGTTATTTTTGTGATCATCTTACGTTGATTTGATCGTAATGCAACGCTCCTGTTCGTCACTGCGGGTATCGGTGAAGCGCATGGAGCCTGCCTTGGCGCCCGCTATGATGCCCGCCTTGGTGACCAGCGAATCCGTCAACGTCGATTTACCATGATCCACATGGGCTATAACGGATATGTTGCGTATGTTACGCCTTTGTTCCATTAGACCACGTATTTCGTCCAGCGAGAGCTTCACCATTTTAAAAAACTTATCACTTCAAGTTTAACCTCAAATTATTTAAATTTCGCGCTCACATTGGCGCGCTTTGAACGAGTCGAAGAACATTCTGGAATATTTCATGTTGCCGCCGCGCTTATAAACCCGTTCAATGTATCCATTTCATAATAACGGAAATAACAGCTACGGCTTTCATCGAAAAGCTTTCCTATTGCCACGAAAGCTTGGCTAGCTTTCAAAAGCTGAACGCTAGGTAAGCAAATGAAATTGCATACCAGTCAGTGACGTAGACAAAGGGGTTTTTTTTTATGAGATTCATTTGATTATCCATTTTTATATTCTTTGTGGAGGATATTCTACTATTGTCATAAAACGTGTTAAATATAGTTGAAATCGTGTGAGATCCCAAAAAGTATATGTATTTCTGTTCAGATTCAAGCTCCTCGTCGATGAGTATATCCGTCCGCCTGTCTGTTTCCATAAATATAATAAAGTGAAGTAAAATTAGTATATATGTCGGATTAGCCGGATCGACCAACTATATCATATATTAGCATAGGAACGATCGGTCGAAAATAATGTTCCTGTATTGAAAACTTTTTTGTTTTTCAGCATATCTTTAGCAGACTTTAACATCGGTAAATCAGACCTTTACATTATATGGCTTCTATTGGTGCAACCAGTCGAAAAAAAGCTTTGCTGAGATTTTAAAGCCACAAGCGTGTTAAATTTAATTATTTTGTTCTTGCTTTGCAGTTGATAAAAATTGAAGACAGTTTTAATTTTTGTTATTATAATTATTATCGAATTTTTAATTCCGTTTAAATTTTTATTTGTTGCTTAAACCCCTCAAAAATTTGCTAGCCTACGAAGCTGACATTAGTCATAATTTGGTTTACCATTATATTAAATAGCACAAGCTTTTTAGGCTTTGAAAAGTTCGGTGTAAAGCTTGTCAAATCAAGTATATCAGCTTATATATGATATATTATATGATTATCGAAATTTGGCGAATATGACGCATTTATATGCTTTTAAACTTTTTTATTTGTGCGGATAATTTAATTATTTGTATTATTATTTTTTTGTTATTTCTGCAGTTGATTGCGAATTGGCATTAAATTCAATTTTTTTGAAACTCCCTATTTCTTAAATTGTTGGCAGCCCGTTTAATTATGATTTTTATTTAATATGCTGCTCACGTTTTTAAAGTGAGACTTTTGTGTTACATTTTGGTCGTTTACTTTCACACAGTTAATTAGATAAGTGCCCCAGTTGATTAATTATACTCTGTTTTCAGAGGGGTTGCAAGAGTATGGTGAAAATTTTTGATTATATCTTAAGAGATGTTTCTCATAATTTAAATGAATTCTTGTAGCTTTTATGTCTGCAAATCTTTTATAGTAATGCAAATTGTTGTTAATTTTTGGTAATGCTTCTCTCTAAGGTGTCTCAGCAAAGAGTATCTAGCAGTCAGTAGACTCTGCATTATACACTTGTTACTTGTTTATTTTCGTGGAACTTGTCGTCAAACGTTAACGAAAATTTTAAGCAAACGCAAAAGTTACTTTCAGTAATGAATCCTTTTCATCAGTTTATTATTATTGTTATTATGATTGACGGCGGCTGGGTACTGCGACTTTTGAGAATTGATATACTTGATGCCGAGTGTGGGAATTTTTGTTCAATAAGAATTTTGTGACAACATCAAGGTATATGAAGAATGAGGTGTTTAGATGGATTTTGGTTTCAACTTTTCTGTAAAGCTGCGATCCAACTTTGAGTCGAACCGACTCAAGCCAGAAATTGAAATGAATGAAATGAAAACTGAATCAAAGCCAGTTTCTCAAGGGGAACCATAAGGCTGCGACTTGTTCGAGCTGTGAACCGAGCCAACTACATTTTCTTGCAGCCCTGCGGCCGTAGCCAATAGCTAAAATGATTTATGGCTAAGATTATTTATAGCAATATCTTAGCAAAAAGTTTGGAGTTTATTGAGCTACGAGCTATTGGAAACACTATAAAAACGCATCAATTTATTCAATTGCCAACTGGAGAAGACAAAGTCTCAGTAATTGTTGGAGTTACATGCGTTTTTCTAATACTTTTGGTTTTTTTCTTTTATTTTTCGGCATAAAACCATTCATAATTCATGCTTGGTCGGGTTTTATGGTTGGCTTTTGATCGCTTGCAATTTCTTGGGATTCCTTTTTATTCAAACGATTCACATTTGCACATTTGAGTGAATGAGTGAGTAAATGAGTGGGTGGATGGGTAAAAGGTTGATTGTCGTTACACGATTGTAACCCTTATCAAAAGTCTTGGCATTTACATAATTTGGCTGCAGCAACTGTCGCCAGGCATTAACATTACATATTTGGGCTTAATTGTTCGCCAGATACTCGCGTGTAATGCAGATGCCCGCCGTGGAGCAGCCGCAACAAAGTAGCGACGCCCACAAAGAAATGGATGCTTGTTTATGGTCTGCTCTCTGCTTGACTCTCGCTCCAGTTGCATTATTCATGAGCGTCTGTGGCGCGTGTCCAATGCCGCAAAAAATATATATGTGTATGCGCACATGTTTGGTGTGGGGGGCAGTTGCCCCAGCAAGGGTAGTGCGGAGGGTGTGGTGAGGAGAGGGTTTGGTCGGTCTTTAGTCTAAACTGCGTCGCATCGTTTGCCTCGCTTACATGACGCACTTGTCAAGTAGGAAGCGCACAACAACAAAAGCCCACGCATCGTCTGCTAGTGTAATGTTTATCAAGTCGTATACTTTATTTACATTTTAAGCAAAATGCAAATTGGCGTCTTAAATAGAAATGCTTTCGCCTACTGCTGCTTTATTCGCACTCCAACTCGAACTCGATTCCTCCACCCATCCGCAGCTGACGCTATGCACACTTCCGTTTCCGCCCACCTAAAATTGTCACGATATATTGTTTACGCTTGCCAAACTTGCGGAATTGTGGCCAAAAACTTGTTAATTGCCAGTTGGCAGCCAACCGCCCCAAAAAAAAAGTTTACCTGGTAAGCGATACTTGACAGCATATTTAAATATTCCGATATTTACAGCTTGCTCCTCTGATTAATTTGGTCAACTTTGCGAAAAAGCGCGAATTATGTGTCATGGTGATAAATTATATTTTATTTTGCAAAAAGTTTGCAGTATTTGTGTATATATATTTTCTACAATGCAGGTCAAGTCAATAAGCATTATTTTCGTTGGTTTTTTTTTTATAGTTGTATTTCAGAGATACATTTAAATTTTACATATTTATTTGCATCTTGAAGATACTTTTAAAGTCTGCAAATGCATTCGTGTCTCACAGATATCTGTGCAAATAAAACATATTTTACCTGCTCTAGATACCTTGTGTCGTTCAGATACTTTTGTATCTTATATATTCATTTGTATCCCACACTCTTGTACATATTGAATTATTCTCTTGCATCTTGATGATATTTTTGTAACCCTTAGATGGTGCTATGTCTTAATGTTTATTTTGTATCGACGAGATAAATTTGTATCTAACAGATTAATTTCCATTCGACGGATACTGATGTATATAAGGCAAAAATTGTTGTACCCTTATGCGCTGGCGTATCTTAGATATACTGCTGTATGAAATTCAATGTGTATCCGATAGATGCACCTCCAATTAAAGTATATTGCAAATATTTTCATAGATACAGTTGCAGTCCATGTTCCATATTGTATATTAATTTGTATTTTACGGATACGCTTGTATTCTACAGATATTTTATTATTCAAATGGTATTCGTGTTTCCTTTATATTCTTTGTATCTAACATTTATTTTCGGATATACACTCTTGTATCTAATTAAGGATGGACAAACATAATAGTCGCTTTTATTGGGTTTTAATTGCTTTTTATGCAGGACTTAGCTGAAGAACTCTTCAAAGCAGACAAAATTTGGATAAAGAAGAAATGTTTATGAATATTTTTTTAACAAATATGCCTAATTGCCAAAAAATGGAAATTGTTTCTTGGAATTGAAATAAAGTCCACGCAAGCATAATGAACATAAGCTGATGCCAAGGCTAGTAACTTTTCGCAGCTGTTGCTTTCAATCAATATATAGCCTTGCCAGCCAATATTCCTGGCAAGCCTGATTGACATTAGGTTAGTGAGGCGTGGCGCCAAGAATTAAACAAAACAATGGCAATGGCAATGATAATGCTTTAGGCAGCTAAAAGCCTCCACGGCTGCTGGGTCGAAAATAAATTCAGTGAAGCATTACAGAAATTAGCCAGCTTGCTGAGAATTAATTCTTGCTGCTAATTATTTATTTAAGAATGCGCAATCAGCACAAAGCAACGTTTTTTTATTTTTGGCAAACCTTGCGCCCTCAATTAAAGTCTATAATATGAAGCATATACTTTTAGAGGAGCGTTGAAAGCGGCCAATTTGTTGATGCCTACGCCCAAATGTGTTTATAGATACATTTAATACAAAATAAGCTTTTGGCAATGCTTGAAGCAAAATGCGATTAAGCTGAAACAATAAATACATTTGAGGTGTCAGAAAATATATAATTTATGTTTTATATGGGAATTACAGCATTAAATTTATAGTTTTTTTTATTGTTTTTAAAGCAGCTTAAATCATGCTTTCGATTAAAGCTAGAACTTTATATTTATCTCAAAAAGTAAAAGAAGCTTTTAGATACTTTGCCAACAACCTGTGTGCTCCAGACAGCAAAAGCTGAAATCTGTGCTTTTCAATGGAATAAAAAGGAGCTTTTATACCATTTGCTAAACAGGCAGTAAAGGTCTGTGCTTTGTTTTACTAAAAATGAGCTTTTCGATCCTTTGCAAACAGTTTCGCATTTATTGAATAATTGTATGCAAGAAAGTTTTTAGTTTATTAAAGAATAACTTTGAAAGCTCTTGAGGGGTTAATGTGGCTTGGAAGGACAGCGAAGAAGCGCATTAATGCTGTAAGCTTAAATAACTGATACGAAAGCTTCATGAATATACAGCAATTCGACAACATGCTGCACTTTCCTCTTTCGAATTCTAAGCTAGTAAGGCTAATGTCATTTTGGCATAGCCTAAGCAACAACGCATTCATAATTGAATTTAGGCGAATGCATTTATCTCAAATGGAATATCAAATTTTGGCAAATTGGCATTGGCGCAAAATTGTAAAACGATTAGTTACACACGCACAGCAAACACATACGAACTCGTTAGCAATTACACAATTGTCGCATTTGAATTAATTCCATTCGCAATAAATTTCAAAATTTGCCAAATTCGGTAAATAAATTTTACGTACACACTTCTCTGCATAATTGGCCTTTGATTTAATTTGTCAGCCGGCTTAAATTAAACTCCACGGCTGTGTTTTTGTTTCTAACTAGGTTGGGTCAATATTTGGTCCATGTTTATGCGGGTCAAAGCCAGCTACAAGTCACCTGTCCAGCTGTTGGCAACTGTGCAAATAGGCCTAGCTCAATGTTGGCTAACTATAAAAAGCCGCTGACCAGTGGCAGCTACAGCATTACGCACTCCAATTTGTTATAAACAATTTGCTAGTTTACACTACTCATCATGAATTCGACGACGCTGCTGATCTATACGCTGCTCGTGTCCATGCTGCTGCTTATCCAAGCGCCGGCTGGCGAGTCCACGTTCCTACTCCTTGCTTGTCTTTACCGTTTGAATATCTGTCCGTTCCGCACGACTACGACAACGGCGGCGCCAACAACAACTTCATAAATAACTATTGGGAGAAAACACAAACGTAGTGCATTGGCAACTTAACAACTAATTAAACCTATTAAATCTTTAATAACCTTTAGTTGGAACAATAAATGTGTTTATTTAAATGTGATTTTAGTTGAATACTTACATATTTAATCTAAAAAGTGCCTGTTGTCTATAAAGTCTTCTCTTACTTGTTCAATTAACCCTTTACAACTAACCTTGAAAGCGGTGGTTTTTGACTGCATGCTTAAACATTTTGGGAATTACAAGCGCAAGTCTTAAATTAAAAACATGAAAACTGAGAAGAACACGTATTTAACACGTATAGTTATATATTTCAAAATTCGTATAAAATAGTCTCCTCCAATCAATTAAAGTTTAGTGGTTCACGGTTGCAATTGGCGTACACGATGTTTTACATAAAGATTCTCTCATATCTTCTAATTATTTCCATGTTCATGTGGGCCATGCTTAGTCGCGAATACTTCCCAGCAACTGTTTGTAACAGCTGCCCTGTTCCCAAGCATTTTGTATGTTTTTATACCCTGAACCCATTAAAAATGGGTATAAGGGTATATTGTATTTGTATAAAATCCAAATGTATGTAACAGGCAGAAGGAAGCATCTCCTACCCCATAAAGTATATATATTATTGATAAGCTTCAATAGCCGAGTCGATCTAGCCATGTCCGCGTGTCTGTCCGTCCGTCCGTCCGCCCGTATGTATGAACGCAAGGATCTCAGAACCTACAAGAGGTAGAGAGAAATTTTAGCTCCCGCGCAGATCGAGTTTGTTTCCGATAATCGATATCTTCCTCCGTTTCCAAGCAATCGATAAAAATCTATATCGATATCCTGTTTTTTGGCCAATTTTGGTAAATAATAACAGCTAGAGTCACCAAACTTGACATGTAGCTTCTAAAATAGTATATATATATGCATTTGATGTTGGAAAAAGAGGGTTCAGGGTATCCCATAGTCGGGAGCTCCCGACTAGAACCTCTTGTTATATTTATATATATTTCAATTTAAATATATTTTTAAATATAAACAGAAAATCATTTCACTGAATATTGCAGAGAGCTGAATCAATCAATTTTGTATAACTTGAAAGCATAACAAATGTTTTTAATTGAAGAGCATTCATTTGATTTAGTGGAGGTTTAGTTTTTAAAATTATTAACCTGCTTTGAAGACCTGCATCCATCAGATTGCATCTGCATCTCAAATTGATTGATTTTCGACCGAATAATTTATTATTTATCCTTTCGCTACTTATTTGCACTATGTGTTGTAAATTAAGATGTCATTTTCATAAATTCAATTTGGGCTTTTGTGCAAATTTAATTGGAAAGTATTTCACACATTTCTCTGAATCCACGCTGCTGGGCGGAAAATGACGTAAGAGCAGGTGCAAAAATGTATTGTCAGATTGAACTTCAAATAAAAATCCCACCCCAATCTGATTCAGCTTGATGAGTATAATTAGGGGCTCAAGGTAGAGGGGGAAGCATTCTATTGAAACAGGCGAAAAAGTAAGGCATAAAAGTGAGAAAAACTTGGCCCGAGCAAGGCCGGGTAGTAGCCGCAAATAATATACATTACTCTAAGGGCTTTTTCTTGGCCAACTCAAAGATAAATGTTTATTTGCAATTAAACAGCTGCACAGTCGCCTTTAGTGTAAATATCAATCGAAACCTAATGTACAACTGCCCAGAGTTTAATGACTGTTAACAATGCAAATAACAAGTATATAGCTTGGGGCATATAAAAAGGGCTCCGTTCTATACGTAGCTCAGTTCTCGATAATTACAATTGCCTCAGACCATGAAGTCTTTAAATTTATACTTGTATCTCACATTGACCGTGCTGCTAATGTTGTGCTGTGCCTCAATGGCTAAACCGTGCCTGCCACGTTGTCCTTGGCCATATTCATATTTCGGTTGTTATTTCACGACCAGAGCACCAGCGGCCACCACAGGCGGATAACTCTATTTGCAATTCAGTTTAACGAAACTGAGCCCAAATGGAAAATTTCAAAAATTTTGGATGTTTTAAAGTTGAACATTTTAAAAAAATAAAAAAAAAATAAGCTACTTCAATTAAATATATTGATGTTATATTTGCTTCTTTAGGGAAATAATTAAATTAAATATACATCATCATTCCAAAGGTTAAAATTTGCACAAAATTGGCTTCGGCATCGGCTTCAATATCATTTTCAAGGATCTTTGTTAATATCCATTTCAAACGTGTTTCACCATTTTCAAAAATTCCACCAACATGGGTGGAAAGTGATCTTCAATAGCGAGTCCGGCTTTAAACCCGTTTTTAAAGTTTGTTGCACGCAAATTGTTTTCAAATATAACTCACCAATTGCGGTAAATTCACTCCGCTTAGTGGAAGTAAAGATATCCATGTGCACGAAATGGGTGAAAATGTGATGTACACAATTTTAGGCAAAAACCAGGCCCAATCAAATAAGAGTTGCATGAAAAATAAGAAAATTATACAAAAAGTCAACTCTGAACCTGCTTTATCGTGAAAATAATTAAACTCCACGAACACACATTCCAGCTCTTGAGCACTGTAATTAAAAGCTCTATAAATACGCATCCGTTTGCCATTTGCCAGGTGGTTTTAATTGCCATCGAAGTGACAACAAGTGGCCACCTTTTGTGGATGCGCTGCTCCCGTTCGGCATCCAAGTGGGAGTTAACTCAAGTCAAATAGAAGCTCTTCTGCTACGATGAGTGCTCTGGCTCATTGGAGACAAGGGATGAAAGTGCAAAGTTTTTTATCATTAGTTATTTGCACTAATTAAGTGCAAAGCGCATTAAAGCCAATTCAACGGGAAAGCTTTTACTTTCATCGTCGACTACGTGCCATGGTTATATAATTTCAGTAACCGAACTCAAACTCAAACTCAAACCCGAAAATGAACCCGAGACGCTACCAATGAGCAATGGCCACATTAAACTTTTGTTGTTGTTATTATAGTTGTTCATGCTCAGGCAAAAGGCAAATGACATTGTCGCATAGAATTACCCATTACTCAACTCAGCTTTGCCCAGCTTAACAAAACTTAACTCAACCCGAGTCTCCCAAGCTTCGAACCCGCTGGGGGAAAATTCGCTTTGTTTTTGCTGGAAATTTAATAGCAGCTCAAGATATTTCACTGCGACCTCTGTGTGGATATTGTGATTAATAAGCCCATATTTCGGATCTGAAAAGCGGGCAAATTTTCTTGCAAGTTCAATTGGAGCAAACAAATATTATTTTACAGCCAACTTCGAAGTGGAAGATTATTTAGTGCGGGTCATAAACCTTATGGGAATTATAAGCGCTAATGACTTTCAAATTGTAGAAAGTATTTCGATGAGACATTTTTGTGTTTTTTCTATGGCCCAGTGCTGAAAGGTATTGAATGAACAAACAGATTTATAAATACACTTTAAAGTTTTTTTAAATGATATTGGGTATTTCATGGGGTTCGAACCCCGTTAAGACAAAATGGTCTGTAGATTTTCTTCTATACCAGATGTTTATTTCGACAAGAATAGATTTTGTTTTCCAGTTTTATTATTTTATTATATATTATATTCTATTCCCTATTGAATTATATTAACTTTACTTTCTACTTTTCATAGACACATATTTGTTGATGAATTTCTGCGAACCTTAACATAATGTTGCTCAGGGTCAACAATAATTGTAAATTTACATTTTAAGCCCTTATATTCAAGTAGTCCATGTAAATTGTCCTCCCTACAGAATTCTTTCCAAGCAAAAATATTGCTTTATTCTGTTGCATAGAAAAAATGTGTGAATATATTTCACATTTGCCGGGAGCGCAGTTTGTGCCCCAATGGAAGCAGCAACAGGATCCAAGACGTGACCCCAATCAGCAAAATTAAATTTGCAACACACACTCACACACACACACACACACACACACACACACATATGCAAATAAAGCTATTTACAGTTGTACTCAAAAATTAACATTTCGTCAGCAGAAGCCGCAATTTTTTTTCCAATTTCCAACTCATCGGCAAATGAAACAAAGAGCCGCGGGCTGCGCAGAAGGAAGCTCAAAAAAGAAAGAACCTTTCGATGTCCTGCTTGTTGTGTTCATGTTCTTTGTCTGTGTGCGTGTGTATCTGTGTGTGTGTGTGCGCGTGTGTATCTGTTTGCATAAGTATAAACAACATGCGATGTTTAAAGTGGAAGTAAAAGTGGCCCAGCTGTAGCATCTCCCACACGACTTACAGGCTATAAGAGTTATGTGTTTTCGTACTACAATTAAATAGGGTATTGGGAGATGTAATAATTTTGTTGCAAAATTTAAATAGAGTATTTGGTGTAAAGAACCATAACCATTATATTATATTATTTTCAACGGAAATATATTATATTATTTTTATCGAATTTTGCTGAACAAAGATCAATCAATTAAATATTATATATTTATTTTCTACAAATCAATCCAAGCAAAATCTACAATGTTAAAAGAAATGTTACATTGTTTTTAAACATTTGTAAACACAATAAATTTTCTGAAAAGCCTAGCATAGAAAGAAAATCGAAATTAGAGCCGTTAATAGTCTGTTATTATTTTGAAATTTGTGCTGCCTGCGAAAATCAATAAATTATTTTTAGATATTTAAACGCTAGCAAAGTCAAAAGAAAAGGGCCATTAAATGCTTGTAAGCTGTTGACAAATGTTGCAAAATGGAAAAGCCAATAAAGGCACACACAGACACACCCACACACACACACACTCCCAACACACACAAAACAAATGCAATTCATACAAATCAATTGACATTTAATTAGCTGCTTGGGATGCCAAACAAAAAATATATGTGCTCCAGAACTATGAAAGGGCGACGACGGGACGAGAAGTCACTTAGAAAAACAAGGACTTTTGACCTTGCAGCTGTCGCCGCCATTCGGGGTAGGGGGAGTTAAGGTTCGGTTCAAGCAGCCAGCAAAAGCCCAGTTAAGCTGCGCAAAAAATGCTAAATAATAAAATATATCGTTGTCTGTCTTAGGGCGCAGAGGTTGGCGCAAAAATCAAAGCTATAGAATGTTATTTTAAAACATTTAAAGCTTTATGGTAAAAATATAAATTCTAAGGGAATGTAGTACAAGCTAAAACAATTGTCTTGAAGGAACATTTTTCTCAAGAATTCTCTTCGGCTTAGAACTATTAAAACATTTGACAAAGTAGTTTTAAAAATAACGATTAATATTGCTATAATTCTTTATTATTATAATTGTTCTTTATAGTATTATTACATTTATTATTATTTATTTTTCTTGGAAAAATCATTATTTATTATTTTAATTGTTATTGTTATTAATATTTATATATTATCATTATTTTAATTATTATTGTTATTAATATTTATTAATTCTATAATTATTATTATTTATTATTTTTAATTTTTATTAAATACTTATAAATACTAAAATAATTTTTATATTATTGTTTTTATTTTCATTATTATTCTTATTATTGTTTTTTCTTTTTAGTTTTATTATTATTTATTAATTAGTTATTATTCGTATTTTTATTACTATTATATCTTATTATTGTTATAATAATTGTATTTAATATTATTATTTTTATTTTATTTATAATTATTATTAATCATTTATAATTATTTATTATTTTTATTATTAATTTTTTTTTTCTTATTATAATTATTTATTTCATATTTATTGTTAGGTTATTTTATTATTAATATTTCTGGGTAAGCTTTGTGTACTGTGCACCTCAAAGTCCAATGTACTTCTCTCCAAGCCCAGCGCTAAGCCCGACTTACCTGACACGAGAGACTGTCCTTCTCCAAACAAAATGAAATTGCAGTGATAAAAAGTCTAGAAAACATTTATCCAGTTAAATTGAAACCATTTTATGTTGCATAACTATTGGCGCATGCTTCATGACAACATTTTACTACGCTCTGCAAGAGTGCAAAGAATTAAATAGTATTTACTTAAATATTTAATATTTGCTCAATTAAAATTGACCTAATTCAATGTCAAAGATTTATTTTCTTAAGGCACATGACAAAACTTGAATTGGGACCTTGCCACTTTACGTGTGGACACGGCGGGGCACGTGACTGATTCAACAATTTTAGTGACAATAAAATCTCGCAAGCAAATCCCATTTCGATGTTCAACAAATTGCTAGCGTCTAAAAGGTGTAAAAAAACCAATTTATATTTACTCGCATACGGCCAGCTCTGGCTGATGGCACAATGGATAGCAAACCCAGTTTATTTGGGGGCAACACAAAGTTGCCTTTCGAGCGGCTGTCAAAGTTATTGTAGACTTTTAAAATGTGTGTTTTCCATCGTCGAAGGGGCTGGCACAGGGATTGGGATGGAGTATGGGTTGTGACGCAGTCAATGCCACTTGGGCAAACAACTCGTTCTGGCAGCTGTTGACAGTTACATACCCCGTCCATTTGTTTTTCAAGAAGTTTGTCTTGAATGTTACGTATACGCACATTTGCACAGCACGAATCGCAAATAGACGGCAAATTAATTAAATATCACTCATACGTCAGGTGTTGCGTGGCCCAGGCCGAGATGCTGCTGCCGCTGCTGCTGCTGCTTATGGCCATGATTTGCAGAGCAGAAAAATGATTTAAGACTTGTCATGCTGCAGCAGGACCCGGCCAATGGCTAACCTGTTCACCGGGCGCTGTTTCGTTTATCATGATAATGTGGGTGTTGCATGCCACGGTGGCAGCAGCGCGTGGGCAGCAGCCAGAAATAGTCGCAATCTCATTTAAATATGCGTGGGCCACGCTTCAGTAATTTTACGTACATTTACAACACGGAAAGGCAGAAATTCGCCTGAACTTTGTCTGCTCTTGTCCTGGCCTTAGTTGCCCAGACTGACAGTTAATCAGGCGCATTAAGCTAAGCTAAGCGCGCCGCTTAGGTTGGATATCACTTTGGCCAAGTTAAGAACAAGGCAATTTCACCTATTATTAGAGGCAAACATTCAATTTTGCTTAGCTGCCTGTGCAGAGTGACGTAATGGGCTGTTTGTGTTAAGTTTAATTTAAAAATGTATGTCGCACATTTGATCTATGGCATAGCAATACAATATAGCCTGTATACTATATATATACTATGAGTAGTCAACAATGCTAAGAAATCTATTGCATCTCTACAATTAGTTCAAGAGATTAAGTGTGTTCTTGGTAGGAGTTTGCGACTTGGAGATATCTCAAACATCTAAGCTGCCGTTAAAAACATTACAACTTTCTACAAAAAACACACACACACACGCCAACTGTCTCTTAACTACACAACTACTCGAATAACTTCTGTGCTTATAGTCCGATCATTATGCAATTTTCAAGGTCCGAATATGGCTCCCAAAAGTATATTTATACCAAAGCGCAAGGCTCTAATTCGAAGAATAACCACAAAATTGTTATATGCTTATTTGAGCCATTTTATTGGGTCAGTTTGTAATAATAAAAAATGTATAATATAGCATACTTTTCCGTGACGTTCAGATTGCATTTAAGCAATATGACAGCTTTTGTATTATTATGATAAAAATATAGAATATATATGCTCAATTCAATTTTGCTGGTAACGCTTTCATCGGCTTCTGGAGCTTCGTCGGACGTGGGTGTGTGTGGTGGCCACAAAGGCCAAGGCAGAGCCCTATTTATATACCTATTGCTTATTGTCTTGCTTATTGTCTTATGGACATCGATAAATCAACAAGTTCATTGTAATACCTTGTGTTGGTGCTTTATTCCATTGCAAAATTAACAACAAAATTAACGTCTGTAACATACTCTGTCAAGGCAGAGCTCCAAAATATGTTGCTTTTCAGTTCGGATTTTTAATTAAAGAAAGCTCATTAACTTGCAATGCGATATTTAATATTTATTTCGAACTTCAGCTCGAATACAATTCATAATTATAGTCTGTCGAGGAAACATCTAAGTGGAAATATCTCTAGATATTTTGAATGCAACTTAAGCACATTCGCGAGTTATCGGACTGTAGGTGCTACCGGTACCAGGACATACTGGAGTCGTGGTGTGGAAGGGACAAAGTGGTGACCTTGCCAGGCACGCCAATAGTATGAAAGTGCCCTCGGCTGCAGGCGCGGAGAAGACCACTAACATGGCCACCAACGTCAGGTAGATGAGAAACTTGGGCGTCATCGTATTATCTATTCCTGACCCGCTGCTGCTTTGAAGTAACCTTCTCGCTATGAGCGTACCCTATTTATATGCTTGATCTAGGGATAGAATGTTTCTGAAGTTAGTAAAGCTGGAAACCCTAGTGCTTTATGCATATTATTTATACAAGTGGTCTATACCTTTTATAGGATCAAAGAGGAACACGTGTCAATTGTGCAAGTTAGTTGTTTTTTCTTCTTTGTTTTTTAATGGAAAGCCCACCACTCTAAGCGTGGCACTAGGTAAATATTCATATGCTATACCCTAGAAAATGGGTAAAAAGGGTATCATGGGTATTATGTGCAAATTAATGTCAGCCCGTATGTATGAATCTTTAAGTGCTAAAGACTTTAAATTGAAAGTAGGTCCTTCTAATGCTCGCACAGTATGAGTTTGTTTCAAATCATCGATTTATCACCCATTTACAAGCAATTGTTCAAATCCCTTTTTATCATATACCTGAATGAATAAAAACACCAAATTCGTTATGTAGACTCTTGAAAAGATTCAGCATATTTCCCATTTTGATTAATTCTTGCCGTTCTCCCAAAAGTTGACAGTATGCATTTATAAAGGTAGATTCAGTTTTTATGCCATCTTGGTGTAGAGGTAGGTGGTGGGCGGTTATTTTTCTACACAATACGATGCCATACTTATGCTCTGCAAATTTCATAAACATCGGATAATACAATCCGAAGTAGGGAATCTCCTAGTCGGGCACTCCCGACTAGAACACACCTACTTGTTTACATATTGATAATGTCGCGACTTGTGTACTTTCGATTGCACAATTTCTCGTGCTTTTATTTGATCTCATACAAAGTAATTCTGTGCCATCAGGGCAAATAGATTCTTGGAATTAGAAGACAGTCTCCATTTTAAAACAAACAAATAATTCGATTAATTAATTAACTTACGGAAATCGTATAAATAGCTTATAAAGTTTTATTAGAAAGTCACTTCAAAGCAGCAGCTGGTCTGGAATAGGTACAACGATGTCTCCAAAATTTCTCATCTATCTTACAGTCGCGGCCATTTTAATGGTACTCAGCGCACCTGCAGCAGAAGGCACCTTATTTCTGACACTCTGCATGTTGAGATCACCGTTCTGTCCATTCGTTACCACGACACCAACGTGCCTGACGGGTAAGACATGGAGTCCAGCGCTTAAAATTTGTGGTTAGCTTGTAGAATTGTGGAATTCCATATGCTACATGAAATTCGAGGAATACAACACTCACAAATTTTGAATTGAATTGCGTTGAGGTCGCAAATAAATATATAACATCGCATTGCATATATATGATATGAGAGTTTCTACTGGGATATCTTTAAAATATTATGACAAACATTTGCGTCACAATTCCATTTTTCAACTCAATCTCAACTTAAGATAAGATCATAAGTTCTTCTGCTTTTTCTGAGGCACAAAAACTACGTTCCTTTAATCTATTTCCCCAGCTTACGATGTTTATGCATATAAAAGTATCAAAAAATAGACAACATAATTTTTTTGAAGCTGTTCCATGAATAATTAGAATTTTAATAAGTGGAGACATGTGGCATGCCAATAACCACGTCTTCCAAGGAAGCTGATTACGGGGCTAATATGCTGTCTAGAATGCTGTCTCTAAGCAACTCGACCCCTGCCCCCGCCAATCACCCGCCTGCATTTGAGGATAGAACTCAAGCACTTTGTTGTGGTTAAACAAACTGTGCTCCTTGACGCTCCGAAGTGGAAAGCTGGGAAAAATTTTGAATTGATGGCGAAATGCGAAGGCGTCTAAAAATAGTTGGTTAGCAAAATGTTTTCACAATTACGAAGAAAACAGCTGCGAAAAGTTGAAAACGCGTCGTGAAATTATGAATGAAATTTCGCTCAATTCACTAAAAAGCAACAGTTGTCCGCGCGCACACACACACACACAACATCCACAACAAAATGAATGCAATACACAAGGAAGAATTCGAGGGGGCCTCACCTAAAGATACCCTGTACCCTGCAACGTGTTGCCGAACAGAAACTAAAATACACACAGGCTCCGCATTTTGTGCTGCGACTGTTCTGTAGCTATGCTCAGGCCCTGCACTTAAAAAAATGTGACCTTAAGTAACTTCGATGTTTGTTGTTCAAACTCTTTGAAATTTTTAAAGTTTAAATATACCATCTAAATGTTTTAATATGCCAAAGATCTAGCTTTAAAAATAATGTTTACTATACGTTAATATACATACCAAGTTTGAAGCATGTTCGAGTTACACTTAAAATGATTAACTCTTGCTGTGTATGAAATACGATAATATATGTATTTTTTACACCCTTGCAGAGTGTATTATTTAATATTAAGTTTCTTAAGACAAACGGACAAGGAACATATATATATATTTTATGTAGAATATGTATACTTAATGGGTTTGCAGATGCTTTCTTCTATTTAAAAAAAAAAATGGTATACCCTTCTTGCCCGTTTCCAATGTGTTTAGGGTATGAATATGAATACAATCCAATAGCGCTACACTGGCGTCCCTGTTCGTTAGTCATGCTTATGTTTGTGTCTATGCAGTTGTCAGCGACTGCGCGCTATGTTCAGCCGCACGTGGTGGCTTCCATTCGCCGTTTCATTGTGGAGGGTGTGCTTGGCGCGCTTTTGGTGCGAATGCCTCTTGTGGATGGCAATGGGGCTATGCGCAATTGGGCGCCGGCTGCCAGAGTTAGTCCTGCAAACGGATTCGCACAAAACGGTCGCTGGTCGTCCGTCAAGCGCCAAGTTGAAGACAGTTTAAGGTTTTTGGAAAATACTGAACCACAGCAAAAAAAAAAGTGTTTATATTTGAAACTTTTCGTTAGCGCGTGCCAAAAAAAAAAATAAATATTTGTATCGACTTTCGATTTGTGCCAAGTTTTGTGCATGTCTGGTCCAGTAGACGTGCTTAAAATAGAAATACAAAAATATCAGTATCAAAAAGTAAAAAGAACTACAATATTGACCACTGCGGCTAGATCGGTTGTTTTAATTAATTTTCGCAACATTTGCTGGCAGCTGTTCGGAGCATTTTCGTGCGACTGTGTAAGTTGAAAAATGATTTTTTTCTCAAATTGCCAGCGGGGCACACATAAATCAACAGTTGCCGTCAATCGCGGCAACTTTATCAAAATGCCAGCGCAAATATTTGCGTATTTGCTTAGTCTGGCTTAAATCATATTCTAGCCACACGCAGCTAACGGCTTCTCGTCTCTGCTCGTATCTGTTAGTTGGGCGCTTTCGCTATGAATGAGTTTTAAGTTTCAGAAAAACTTTTTCTCGACATTCTTGTTGCATTTCTTGCAAAGTTTTCGCTTGCATAAAAAACAAATAGCTGAAACAATGTGTGAAATTTAAGTTTAAAAACATTTTATGGCCTGCTCGACATGCTTTTAGTGGCAACACAAGCAAACCAAAAAAAAAAAACTGTCTTTATTGGATTAGCATATGTAGTTTGACGCGGCTTAGATGTTGCTCGTGTGGCTCTGTGAAAGGTATTTTGCGTGCATGCGAAGAGCTAAAAGCTTTCATCTGACACGGTTATTAATTAGTGACGTGTAAATGAGCTTGAATCTAAGCGACTTTCGCACCACTCCATCAAAATTTAAAACAACGTTAATGCAAGGCCAATTTATCAAAAATGTTCATTAAATATCTTATTTTTTTTCAAATGTCATATGCATTAGCTTCTTTTTACTTTGCAATGATGGTTAATCAGTGACATATTAGATAGTTCGAATTGGCAGCACTTCATTAAGCTCGTTCTCGAAGTAAAAATAAGTTGGCAGCACTCCATTAAAGCAATATAGCCATAATCAAATATATGTATTTTAAATAAATTGGCAGCACTCCATTTAACCAGTTCAAAGACTTAATATATAACAGCAATAATAAAATAAAATAATTCAATTAAATTGTTCAAAAATATTAATAATACATTTAATTTTTCCATAAATTGTATTTATTTTTTAATTTAGTTGGTGATATAGGAGCTAGCTTGAACTTAAAATATATTGGCAGCACTCCATTTAAATAGTTAACAAAGTCAAAATAAATTGGCAAAATAAAGGGAAACTAATCAAAAATATTAAATAAATACTTTAGTTTTGTATGATAGTAAGTTAGTGTAAGCTGGTTCAAATCTAAAATAATTTGGTGTCACTTTACTCAACCAGTTCGAAGTAAAAATTTATTTGGGGCACTCCATTAAAATTGTGCAAATAAATGTAGTATTTGGCAAGAAACTCAAAATATTAATATTTATTAAATATTTTATTTTTACATAGCATCTCTTATTTTGCAATGATAGTTATTAAGTGATTTGTAAGGTAGCTTGCATTTAAAATATATCGGCAGAACTCAATTCAACTCATTCTCTAAGTTAAAAGAAATTGGCAGCACTCCGCCAAAATTGTGAAAAGCAATTAAATGTTGGCCTGTTGTAATAAACGAATATAACTAAATATCTTCTTTTTTTTTGATTTGTTATTACTGTTTGCACACTGTCATACAATTCATTTTGTAATAGTAAAGCTTTTACATGTATTTTTTTGTTTTGTCATCAGAATACTCCATTGCAGTTCACACAAGTGGCTATTGACGACATTCGTTTATTGGTTGACTGAGCTTAGAATAATATGCAAAATATTCTTAGGCAAGCGCTTTATTTACTTTAAATTATTCCATTAATGTCATTGCCAAATTTAAGGCTAATTGAAAACCAGTCAAGGCAAATTATAGAAAAAAATATTGTGAAATTGGGCTTAAATTAGCATGAAAGCAATCTAAGGAATGCATTGGCAGTGGCATCCTGTTATTTAAATATCTGTCTGAAATAATACTCAATCAAAATACTCATTTTATGTAAAATATATCCTTATTTCTGTTTAAATTTTTTAAAAATTATTTAATATTTACCAGTTCTATATAAAACAGTTTTCCCAAGAACAAAGAAAATGTACATAAATAAATTTCTAAAATGAAGTAGAAGCATTTTTAATTATTGGACTGTCCTTTTTATATGCATTGCATACTTTACATTTTTAATTCTTAAAAAATTTAAAATTTGAAAACATTGTGTGTATAGCGTTAAGAAATTCCTTTCCTTTATACACATACTTATCGTAAACATAAAAAAGAGGTCGTGATATGAGTAATTGATTAGAAAATGTTTTCTTTTCAGCCAAATTATTTGGCACTCTATCAAATTCCACTTCAAAGCACACATTTCTATTGTTATTTTATACATAAGCTGACTAGAAGCCCCTTAACCCAATTAGTGAATGTTCAATATATCTCACAAAGATCGTGTTTCTCAGTCAAGTTCAAGGTCAAAGCCATTTTATACACGGGATAAATGAAATTATCAGCATCTTGTTCTGCGCTTAGATAAACACACAAAAACCTCAGATAAGTTTCGTTTTGGCTAAAGGCAAAATCGTAGTTAAATAAACAAACAAGCATTCAAACGAAATGTTGTAATTAAACTGAATGCGAGTGGTGCCAAATTGAAATCGTCAAAGCCAAGTGCCACGCCCCCAATGTTAAGAACGTCTATTGACAGTGCAATCGGGGCCAAATCCAATTCGCGGCAAATGACAAGCCATTTGCCGCACTACTCGATATTAGCATAAGTCAATCAGTCAGTCAAATGGCCGTCAGTTTGTCAATCAGTTTGTCAATCAATTCCAGAGGGCGCCGCATTCACATGGTTAAAGTCAAAAGCATTTGTGGCTAATTAGCGTGTACGCAATCACAGCCAAACGTAGTTGGGCCGATACCATAGCCCCCCTCCCCCCTCCATTTACCTGTCCTTTTGCGGCCTCAAATTTGCTTAATTAATGTATTCCCTCTGCTTCTTCTCTTTTTGTGTTTTGTTTTTCTACCCTTTGTACCTTTTGGTTTTATAATTGTTGCGCGTGCCACCCGCAGAGTACTGAAAATTATCACGCATACGCCGTGTTGCAGCATTCGCTCAATTTGATTACACAAGTTACGTTTACATTTAAATACCCGCGGGAGGGTATTCAAATTATGTAACGAATTGTGTAACACAGATCTCACATAAAGTATGTGTCTACATACATTTGATCAGAGAAAAAAGGATATAGTTTTAAACTCGATTAGAAGAAAAAAACACATGTTTTTATATATATTTGTATATTTGCATATACTTTGAACTGAGTTTGTGTCAGTTTTTTATCTGGAAATGCAATTACTCCAATCTTTCTAAGATATGTAGCAAGCGATTTGAACAATTTGTTTAATAAATTTG